TTTCACGACGAAACCATCCATTGCCGATGGGAGTTTGTTCAACTGTGGCGTCCTTTCGGCACGATCCATCTATCCATCGTTGATGAGTGGATGAGTGGCCTGCAACGCTCCGTCAGAGTCCTTGGTAGAAGGTCCAGACTTTTTTTTTTAATTTATAATTTTTTTTTTTTCCTCTTCCCAGATCTTTGATCAGAACCTTGGTTTGTCCTGATCTGGTGGCACGTACTGCGGCGTGGGGGAAGGGTTACGTTGACCACGGGTTGTTGATTGATGGGTTTAGATAACTAACAGGGGCCACGTGACAGTATGAAATGGTCCTTGGCGCAACGGATCTTTCTCTCTGTCCCTGTAACCAGCTCGGATCGAATGGTCGATACACCCGCAAACCCAGAGTGGTAACAAGCCTTTACCTTCCCAGCTTATTATGTCTGCGGGATAATTAGATTGAATAAAAGCTTGTTTGTAAGAAGCATGTTTCTTTAGAGTCAATAAAGATAAACTTCAATTGGTTCAATCGAGGAAGATAAGTGGGTGTGGGGAGAGACAGAGAGTTTCAACTACAGATGAAGCCTAAATATGTGAATTTGAAATGAAAATAATTAAAACTGAAATAATAATAATAATAATAATAATAATGTCTTATCAACCTAGTTATAGAGATTATGCTTGATTGATAAGAAATCAAATATCTAATCTAATATCGAGGAAGTTAGGCATGAAAAAAACTTTATTAGTTGATTAGTTATATACAGGGTGCAAGGAGAGTGACTAATTCTCTGATTTCCCACCCAGACAAGGTGGCAATTTATGTGAAGTAGGGCCCACAGCCAGGTTGACCGCTAGTACCAAAGATACCAATCAAGCGCCATCCGGATGTGGGCCAGATGACCGTGCCTGTTTTTAAAAAGTTGTCTCCTCGGATTTGAGGTGCTTCTTCTGGGATTTGAGGCCGAACGGGGGGCCTTGGTTTGGGGAGTGAAATTCCTGAAGAAGCCAAGATAGAAGAAAACACAAACTAGGTTGGAAATAGCTTATATAAATTTAAAAAATAAAAATTAAAAAATAAAAATTAAATTAAATTTATAAAGTATTAACATAGAAAGTAAAATTTTAATACTGAGGAGTTTTATACTATTTTTAAAGTTTTTGAGATGATATATAAAGAATTAGCTTTTACATTAGAAAGATATTTGAATTGTCTTAAATAGTTAAGCCGTATGAAATCTTTAAAAATACAATCAGAATAATTAAATATAAATAGAATATATTTAAATAGGGAAAATATATAAAATAACAAAGAAAATAAATAGTATTCCGTATTTGAAAATTAAAATAAAAGGTCAGTTTAATTAAATAATTATTAATATTTATTACACTAGATATAGTTAAATAACTAACCATGCCACACGCACTCACTAACCTCCCAATTAGTGGGAGGTTAGTGAGTGCGTGTGGCATGGTTATATTATATTAGAAAGAATGATATTTTTCTTTTTGTTGCACCGAATGAGAATCACAAAGTAAATATCAATTCTTCATGGAAACTTTCTTATGTTTTACCCTAAAACTTCTGTAAATATTTAGCATGCAAAGAAAGAGATATGATGACTCCCGGAGCTCTGTTTGATATATTTGATTATAGCACCCTATGAACTTATGAGATGCAAACGCCAGCCCCAGGAAATCATCCATCAATCAAATCAATCTCGGGCGGATCGTGGATGAATAATCCCGATGTATTTCCCATGTATATTCCGCGTATAACGTACCGCCAAAAGGGACCTAGGCGTAACTTTGCTCCCCCATTGCTTTTTCTTTCTGTTCTGAGATTCCAGCGTATGCTTTGATTCCAAATCCAAGATTTCATCTCCAATAAACAAACACATACATCTCAACCACATCCTCACCTTCCGGTCATGACTGTTCACAGCTAATCGTATCTGTACTGTATGAGATATCTCGGAATCGATCTAGCCGGTATACCGACCCAATTTACCGCCCGAGCTAGAAGTCCTCCTCTAAATCGAATTTGGAATCATCCCTGCGGCTAACGACAGATCAGGATTGAAAACTGTGTGTGCACACGCATAGTCAACTAGATCTCTTTGCTTATGGAATCCTGAGGAACTCGTTGTATTACGCAGAAGAAAGATTATTATAACTCAAAGCAAGTCTCTGCCTACGTCATTGCGGGCGATCCCGCATAACATAATCCAAACCCACAACAACCTCTCTCATCCTCCGACAAACCATCAACCCCCCAACCACCGAGTTGACAAGATATATAATAACCATCGCGCTTCCACAGTGGCCTCTCGTCGTCTTTCTGTCCGAACTGCAACAGCTTCCAACCTACCACCAGCAACACCACGCCTATTGTCCTCATCAAGCAAGAGACTCGGGTCCATCCTCACCACCAACAACCGCTCCTCACCAGCCCCACCGCCTTCACTCTCAGTCTTCTTCAACAACAACAACAACAACAACAACAACAACAGATTTTTCTCCGCTTCCGCCCGCAACAGCTTCAGACCTACGCCAGGCACAATGGTTGTCCACAATCTGCAAAAGTAAGTCCAGATAATGACATATCAAAAAATAATTGTTTTTCTTGAGTTTGTTTCAACTGCCCTCCATGTCACCCACCCCCATGGTCGATGGAAACTCCACAGCAATTCCTTCACGACGCATCAGCGTAATCAACCCATTCATTGAACCGTCAATACCATCCATTCCATCAAATCCTTCCCTCCATCCATTCCAATCCTTCCCCCCCCCCCCCCCCCCCCCCAACCACCCCCAACATCCCTTCACATCCACAACCACAAACCCCAAAAGGAAAAGAAAAGAGAAATCTAACGCAACCCCCCAGCCACGCCTCCTTCGTCTCCGCCATCTCCTCCACCACCTCCACCGCCGACGCCTCCACCGGCAAAAAGCCATCCCTAGTCGTCATAGACTGCTATGCAACCTGGTGCGGCCCCTGCAAAATGATCGCGCCCAAACTCGTCGAGTTTTCCGAATCCTACCCGAACGTCGCCTTCTACAAGGTCGACGTCGACGAGTGCCCGGACATCGCGCAGGAGCTGGGCGTCAGGGCCATGCCGACTTTCATCTTCTTTAAGGATGGGCAGAAGGTTGATGAGGTGATGGGCGCGGTGCCGCAAGCGGTTGAGGCGGCGATTAAGAAGCATACGTCGTAGATGAAAGTGGGGAGGGATGGGTTTCTTTGGGGGGTTGGGGGATTGGGGGGCTGATTTTTGGTTAATTGAGAGGCGGGTTTGTATGGTATTGTCCTTTTGTGTACAGTCTACTGTGGCCCGGGCAGGGGAAGGGATATAGGATGAAAATAGGGGAAGACATTTAAAATAATATTAAATAATATATATATATATATAAAAAAAAAAAAAGAGCATGGAAGGGTTTGAGGGATGCACACTTGGCCAATAATTAGTTAATCTCAACCCAATGAATAACTATTTTGAAAAAGAGGGAATAATACCTCCATTTATTTCTGCTGCGATCATCTCTGCAAACGCCTCCCTCCTCTCTCGCGCGCTCTCTTCACTGATGAGAACGTTGTGCTGTTGTATATATATTTCTCGTACAACTAACTGTACGGATACTGACTGAAAAAAAAAAAAAAAAAATTACAACCCACAAAGCCGGTCCAACGGATGGATAGTTTAAAGAATACCTATCCCCATTGATTAAACGAAAAAAAAAAAAAAAAAATGCAGACGACAACACAACATAGTTACAGAGGTCCATTCGACTGTTCCCACCCAACCGCCAGCCTTCATTCCATAACATGAACGATAATCACAGGAGAGACAACCGGGCCCCCTTTGCCCTCCCCGCCCACGTACCCATATGAGAAGAATCCTGGAAAGCAGCTGGGACGAACACGGCCAAACAGCGCGCAGCCCCGTACATTGTATACAATGAGCAAGCGATGAAAAAGAAAAGAAAAAAAGCATCAGCCTGGCAGGCCGGAAGATGAAAAATCAAATGGGTCGTACACTCAGTTTAAAGTATCTAAAGACTCTTTTGCTCGGTTCTGCAATGTCATATGGACAGCGGGTCTACCTGCGTTCTGTTCAGAGGCACAGTTACCAGCTATTCCACACTCTGAATGGATGCTACCGTTGGGCGAGTGGGAGTAGACTTACGGAGAATAGTAAAGCTGCCATATTACTGCAGAAAAAGCACACTCGTGTAAGAAGTGAACTTGGATGAATATATATACGTAGAGAGAGCACATAGATGTGCCGGTACTTTGTGTATTTGTACAAATATGCACGCATGTATATGAATGGTTTATTCGGACAGCTGTATCAATTACCAATCCCTGTGCTGACCTCTGTAAGAAAGATAAATAGAAACCAGAGAAAAGGAGGGGAAACAGACGGAGAACAAGAAATCGCCCCCCTTAATCAAAAAAAAAAAGGAAAAAAAAAGGAAAAAAAAGGAAAAGGAAAACGCCAAGGGAATCGAGGGCAAAAGGAAAGGATATAAAATGATGCTTTAAAGATGAGATCTGTATATCCGGAAAGGAAAATGAGTGAAGAGACAAACACCGTCTTTCTTAATAACCAAGATGTGGAAAGTGGAAAAGTCAGATAATTATTTAAACGCCGTCTAAATAGAGATCTGGATCTGTATTTGAGGATCGTGAGATAATCGATGCAGGCGGTGCAGGTGGTCCAGCCACCTGATAACGCCGAGAGAAAAGACGAGATGAGAGGAGAGGAAAGAAGATTAAAAGGACAGAAAAACAAGAGCCGTGATCCTGGACGCCGCCGCTAATGGAAAAGATGGAAAAAGAACATGGGAATTCGTGGTCGTGACAAGAAGCACAAGAAGGCCAGCAGAGGTAAGATGAAAATTACGTCAAGGACGATATCTTTCTGGAAGAAGTTGTGAAAAAGCCCACGTCAACAGTGGATTGGACTTGGTGTAAAAGCGGCGGTTGTTGGTTGGATGGATATATCGTATACTTAATCGTCATCGTCATCGTAATCTTCAGCGCTGAAATCGCTGCTGCTGTCGTTATCGGAATCTTCGTCATCTCCATCGCTTTCATCATCTTCATCGCCTTCATCATCTCCATCGTCTTCATCATTTCCATCGTCGTTGTCTTTGTCAACAGCTTGCTCACCCTCCTCCCCATCTCCGCCGTCTTCAACCTGTTTAAAGTTAGGATTCTCATACTGACGTCGCGCACCAGCCTGCATGGCCCTATTGAAATCACCACCGCCACTGCCACTGCCCCTGCTACTGCCATTAGCCGCCGCCATGCTGTCCAGAGCCCGTGCGCTAGAAGCCCGAGCCTTCAGTGTAGAACCAACCACACGACCACCCACATCACGTTTAACAGCGCCATTAGCACCGTTAGAGTCAATCGCCAGCACCTCATCCCTGCTCCCCAGAATCTCAAAAGCGACATCCCTCAGCATTCGGCGCTTGCGCGACCCGTCACGGGAACGGCGGATCACGCTCGCGCTGCGGGCAGGATGCTCCTCTTCGTCCAGCTCGCTAGCGTCTGCGGACCGCTTGCTCGTCACGCTGTTGGCTGAAGAGGAGCAGGATGGTAAGGGGCTGTTGCTGGTGCTGGTGCTGGTGCTGTTTCTGATTTTGCTTCTGTTGGCAAGCAATCTATTGAGGGCGCCTGTGATGTTGGGGCCGTACTTGCCGACCAGCGTGCGGATGGATTCATCTTTTGCGGCCATGGGGTGCCCGAAGATGGTTATCATCCAGTGCATATCTGCGTGGTCGGGTTTCGGGCTTTGGATGGGTTCCTGTGCCGAGATGCCGTTGGCGGCTGCGTGGGTGGGATTTCGTGCCAGGCTGCAGGTTTCATCGTTGGGCTCAATAGCTTTTTCCCTGGCAGTTTCTTTGCATTTGGATTCGCAATAGGTGCGATCGGCTCCCTTCAGTTGGTCTGGGAGGTTTGGGAGCCCAGTGTGGGGCCCCTTCAGACTCCGCACGGAGGAATAATGGTTAGAGTTCTGCATGGGGGCGAAGAGAAAATGGGGGGGGGGAGGGGGGAGGGAACAATGTTAGCGTGTAGCTCATAGGTACAGAGCATGGTTGATAGGTGCTATTAGTGTGGGAATCACATACATGATAACCAAGATGTATCACCTCTCGATCTGGGTCGTCCGGGGAAAAGTAGTCCTTGAATCTTTGAACTCCGCCCACCGAGTATACGAGCACATCCATGCCATAGGACTGGCAGAAGGCCTGGAGCTCCAAAGCTCCTCCCCAGTAAGAATTCCCCGCCATTCTCTGGAGCTCTGAGTGGAATGCAGCCTTTTGGCCCCTTTTAGTAGCAGGTCTGCCTATGCCAGTAAACTTCTGGCGGGCTGCCTCAGAGGCGTCTCTTTTGGGAGCTCGACGCTCCCCCCCGGCGTCTGTAGCGAATTCTTCGAAATAAGCGGAGGACTTCCGCATCTGATCGACCAGGCGTTGTCGGATTTCAGCGTACTGCTCGAAATCGCCGTACAGTTGATCGGAGATGGAGTAGAAAAGGCAATTTCCTGGCCAATTAATATATGAACAGCTCATTTGATTTCCTCTTCTTGGCTCTTTACAACATATGCATATTGATATTTCTGGCGAACAGGAAGGGGTCTTACCGTCACCGACGACAGGTTTGGCATATAACTGGAAGTAATCCAGGCATTCTAGCTCGAGTGAAGACATCCTTGGGTATTGGAACAGTTTCGTGGTTTTTTCCGGGGTGCTCTCGTCCTGCAGGGTCGTCCTGGTACAAGCAGGACTTTGGGTAGTTTTGTCTCTGGAGAGGATTGGGACGACTCTAGGATTGAGAGGTGAAAGGGGTGGAGAGGGTAGAGGAGAGAGGAGAGGTGAGAGGGGCGGAAGGTTAACCATGGTTGCGGAGGATCTGCTTTTAAACACTTCATCTGGGACTGGGGGAGTTGTTCTGTATTTAGGGGGAGTGGGGAGGCAAGTATATTTGCTATTTGGATCAAAAGCTGTGGTGACTTGGGTTAGGTGATGGCAAGAAGACGATAGATATAGATGAATATTCTGTAAATATAGGAGGTTGTAGAAGTGAGGGAGTTGCTATGATGTAAGTGGGCCAAATATAGACATGTGCAAGGGTGAAGTGACGAGATCTCCAATACTTTTGAACTTGAGAAAGCTAATTAAACTCAGTCCTTCTCAACATAAAACAGCAATAGGGAGGCAGAGAATGAATCAGAAGCCCTTTACTAGCTTAATGTGGTGGTGTTGTCGTGTTGAGATGTTGAGATGTTAAAATGCTGAGATGCTGAGATGTTGAGATTGCTGAGGGTAAAGGAGTTGAAATAAAGTTGAGCTGCGGAATGACAAACAGTGCAAACTAGAGACGCCTTATTTCACCGGAGAAGGAATAGACGAGGGAGCGCTAGGCCTTGTTGGGCTTAACCATCTCGGCTGCAACTGCTGCGTCAAGATTAGAGGAAGAGAGGGCTTTCGGCGAAATTTGACGGGGGGTAACATAATTAATTCATGATACGAGAGAGTGTGAATGGAGGAGAGAGGAGGAGAGAGAGAGGGAAAAGGGGAATGGAATGAAAGAGAATATCCGGGCGAGGATATCTACTTACATTTATTCTATTCTACCTATTTCTCATGTTTCCTCCGCAAAAGACTGATGAAGATATATGAAACTGCTCCCTCAATATATATATATATATATATATATATATATATATTATATAATGCATGGAGCTTCCTCCATCGTCCCCTGACCAGCATTCATTCCCCTACCTAGTACCAACTACCCACAAGACAAGTCCCCTCTCCCACCCCCTATATAACTAGTCCCGCCGCCATGGCCCCAATCAAGATCGTCGTGGTCGGGTAAGCGTGAGCCTTGCGCTGCAAAAGACTCATCACACCCCTTAAAACGGGCTGTAAATTGGTGAAGTTACTGACATGTAACTTGACCCAGAGGCGGAGTCACAGGCCTGACTACTGCCGTCTTGCTGTCGAGAGATCCGGCCAACCAGGTCACCGTCGCGGCAAAGCATATGCCGGGCGACTATGACATCGAGTACTGCTCGCCGTGGGCGGGTGCAAATTATCTTCCGTAAGCCATGCCGTGTCTAGATGGTATTCCGTCTATGGCCGCTTCTATTATTCCCAAACCGTTAAATATAAAATTTGCTCTGCTCTTTTTTTTTTTCTTTTATTTTTTCTTTTATTTTTAATTCTTCGTTAACTATATGCAGCAGGGTGGGGGAGCCTGGCAGTGCTCATTCGCAGTGGGAACGGGATACATGGCCCGTGCTATCTGATTTGGCAAAGAATAATCCGAGAGCCGGTATTCATTTTCAACGTGGGTGTTTTATTTTTTACTGTTAATTATTGAACCACCCTTTTGTTTGGTTGTTGTATGTGTAAGAACTGAATCCTGACATTTTAGTTCAAGGGGCGGTGATAAATACTCGTGACAAGGATGCACAATCTACTACGGGACAGTGGTTTTGTGAGCTCTCAAAGTCGGATCCCTGGTTTAAAGATGTCGTTCCAGATGTTCGTTGTTACTCTCTTCTTTTATTTGCAACAGCCCTTTCCATTCTCTATGGGGGAGATTAACGACCGTTGACACCCGCAAATATCTTACAATGCATATAATAACAGTTCCGACGGCTCCCCAAGGAGGAAATACCCCCCGGCGTAGACGCTGCCACCTCCTTCACCTCCGTCTGCATCAATACTGGCGTCTACCTCCCATGGCTCGTCTCCGAGTGTCTCGCAAACAGCGTCGTCTTCAAACGAGCCGTCTTCAAACACATCGCCGATGCCGCATACGTGCATCACTCGGGTCAGAAGGCTGATCTCGTCGTCAACTGTACGGGCCTCTCATCGCGGAAGCTGGGCGGAGTTGAGGATCAGCAGCTGTACCCTGCCCGCGGGCAGATTGTGGTGGTCCGGAATACTTCGCGGCTTATGGCATCGCTTTCCGGATCGGATGACGGGGACGATGAGGTTTGTTATATGATGACGCGGGCGGCTGGTTCGTAGTGGCATACTTCCCTCCTTTTATTGTTAACCCCCCCTTAATATCTGACCTGAACACCCGTCCCCCAAGGGTGCCCGCATGGGTGAGATTCCTTCAGGCAAAGCTTTCTAACACCTTTTTCCAGGCGGCGGCACAATCCTCGGCGGCTCCTATCAAAAGCACAACTGGGAAAGCCAACCTGACCCTTCCCTCGCCGTGCGCATCATGAAGCGATGCGTGGAACTCTGCCCGGATCTCGTGGGGAAGGATGGAAACGGCAAGCAGCGGGGTATCGAGGGACTGGATATCATCCGTCATGGCGTTGGGTTGCGCCCGCTGCGGGAAGGAGGCGTGAGGCTGGAGGCGGAGAGGATTGGCGGGGTACCTGTCGTTCATAACTACGGGCATGGTGGGTTTGGGTATCAGGCTTCGTGGGGGTGTTCGATGGCTGCAGTGAGGGTGGTTGAGGAGGTGCTGGAGAAGGAGAAGGGGAAGACTCTGTTGTAGATTATTGAGGGTCCTAGATGCATTGGTTTTGTTGGTTATTTCTTCACGTCATGTTTTTTTTGGATTGGGGATTGTATTTGGTGGCAGATGTCAATACAGGGCATTCGTGATAATTGCGCAATTTGATTTTTGCATCCAATTGAATAGGAGAATGGGACAACCTTTGGAAATGGAACTTCATAAGATACAATAAGATACAATAAGATACATCTCCTTTCCAGGTTCAGATTTGTTTCAAACTCGAGAATCTTGAATAAATGACTGGAATGAAGCCTCGTCTGCGGGAAGCATGTAGCCTCACCCTTGAATCTGACAATGATATTATAAAGCGAGGGCATCAATATTATAATCGTAATTTGGCGTTCCTGTGGGAGCTCTCCAAAGATGTTTACCCCGATTCTCGCTCTCAAGGATCTTGTAGTTAACTACAGTATCTGCTGCGAGATTTTTTCTGCCAGAGCTAGTTATTTCAAAATGATGTGAACATGTTTTGTCCCCGTCTGATGCCGAACTACTCTGTTTGATCTTTTTATACTTCTCAATATACTTCTCTAGAAGGTATATTCTTTGGTGATTTGTGAGAGCTGAGCAGAAAGGAACCCTCCAAGTTAAAGAATTACCTGGGTATAGGTGCCCTCAAGCTCGACCCCTAAACCTAACCCGCCGTTGTGGTGATAAGATATGACATCCTGAATCGCACGAATAAATCGGGGTTCTAAAATAAAGCAATACTTAGTCTTCAGCATTGGGAGCCTCTTTATATCTACCAATTAACAATATTTCATAAGGATCAGATAAAGCTACATGGAAGAAAGGGAGTAAGTTGTTGAGCTTTGGTGCTTCCGCTCTCCGACGTGCATGTATTTAACCACGCTTATACGTATATATATATTACGCGCTCCGTATTGAGCTCAATTGGAATCCGCGCTGCTCCGGGAGGATGGTGGTTGACAAGAGTGGGTAGCGTGTGAATTAGTATTCCTGTCGAACCCCGTAACTGTTCTAGACCAATGATCCCGAAGTACGAGCCGGGGAGCAAGCGACGGGAGGGTATGTTTGTACACCAAAGCACTACTCCAAGACCAATCTATTAGTTGTGAGAGTCCAAAAACCACCCACCGCCCAAATCCCACAATCATATCCACCTCTTGACATGATAGCCCTGGACTTGTTAATTTCCGATGTTCTGCTTTATGCATACGGAGGGTTTCCTAACTTCGGTGTCACCGATCACCGATATTCAGTCGCATTTTTGAGTAGTGGTTGTAATTATCGATTCCTGTGCGGACTTAACAATTCTCGCATCCAACAATATGAGCTGCAAGAGGGAGAATCTTGATGGATGTCCATATAAACGGGGGCTGTCATCCAAGAAGCAATTGGGTAGTTGAAGGAACTTGCTGTGTTTCGTTTCAAGCGTAGGGCGCGATATTCATATATCATGGCCATTGTTCAGCCCAACTTGAAAAAATTCGAAATAAAAGATGATCCACCTTCTCTCGTTCGCTGCAGTGCTCGCGTGCTTCGTCAACGGTTCAATAGCATTTCGACGTGCGAGAGATATATTTCAACAGGTGAGAAAATCGCGGCCACTACAAATATTGAGATCAAGAAGAAATCGACAACCCCGTACGAGCAAGACCAGAAGGAATATTGGTATGGTTGAGATGTGTAGAACTGTCACTTGAAAGCCAATCCATGCGTTACTTTCCCTCGTCCAAACGGATTATTATGTTCACAAAGGTTATCGGAATGTGGAAGATCGCAGCCTTCATGTATCCTAGTGCCGAAAACTCCGGAGGAGCTGTCGATAATCGTGAAGACTCTCGGGAGGAATAAGGAGACCTTTGCGGTGAACAGTGGTGGTAATAATCCGAACGGCAACTTCTCGAGCGTCAACGGCGGGCCTCTTATTAGCCTAAAGGATTTCAATGAGATCAAATACGACGAAGCACCAGGCACAGTAAAGATTGGCGCCGGTAACCGCTGGACCCATGTTGTCAAGATTCTCGAACCAACCGCAGCTGGAGCTCGTATAGGACATGTTGGTGGCGGTGGATTTATTCTTGGGGGTAAGCATATGTATATGAACACAGTGGTTCAATTTGATGTTGTACTCGCAAGCGGAAAAATCGTCGAAGCATTCAGCAGTGAGAAAGTTGATCTGTTCAATGTTCCTCCGTGGCGGCGGGAATGCCTATGGAATCGTCACCACCTACACTTTAAAAGCACACAAAATGGGTAAAGTATGTTTGAGGCTTAAACAAGGTAGTTCCAGGACATTTCATAGCTAATCGTGCCGCTGCGCAACCCACACCAAAACGATAAAAACACCGAAACGATAAAAATCTTGAATCACATCCTCATTATTGCACTCTATATCAACAACCAGTAGCTAATCTATAATAAAAAGATTATCTACATCATTCTCAGTATGTGTGCCATCTCTAAATCGATTTAATTCCTCTTCTGTCAGTGGTGTGAGTGGGTTATTGCCAATTTTCATGGGACCAACTCCAAGCCTCCGTCGCTCCTTATTCTGCTCTTTTTCAGCTTCATTATCCTTACGCCGCTTGATTTTTCTATTGGCATCTTTAATAGTGAGGACTCCCCCTACTTGAACCTGGCGACGGGTTGTTTTAGCTCTGCGGTGTTTACTGGCGTTGAGAAAGTTCTCTAATTCAGTGGTCTGTTGCTCATTAAGTTCCGCGTTGATTAGACTTGCTTTGAATATCTTGTTCAAACGACATGTCAAGGTGGGTGATTTCAAATCAAGAGTATCTCTAATACTTTGTATGGCGTTTTCCGCAATATTAATATGGCGTTTCAGCTTTTGAATTGTCTTTGGTGAGGATAGCTGAGAGGAAGAGGTAGGTATGTGATCTGAATCATTCTCATCTTCATAAATCTGCAGTGGAGGAGGTGATGAGATTCGCTGCTTAAGAGTGTCAAGAACTCGGTCAGGATTCCATGGGTATATGCCACGTTGAGCCCATCCTGCAGCTATTGTATCAGGTTTAAAGGTCTGCTTTCGCATAGCTGAGAGGTCTTGTAGGAACTGCCGTTTTTCATACTTAACAAGACCATGGCATGCGGCATAGTTGACTGCTTTTGAATGGTAATGCTTATATTGCTGAAATGGTAGACTATCCAGAGGTTGTAGCAAATGAGTGGCATGCGATGGAAATCCATATAGAATTATCTTATGAAGATCCGCGTATTGTATGAACTCCTCAGTGATATGAGATCCATGATTATCCATTAAAAGCAATCGATGACCTCCTTTCTGTCTCTTTTTCTGTAGCAGTATTGAAATGTTTGAGCCATTCAAATCCAATCTCATCATTTGTAAATCCAGTATCTGATATAGCAATTCTATAATTGCTGGGCAAATCTGTCTGTGTATACCAATCCTCCAAGTGTGTTTTGGAGGCCAAGATTATCAATGGCGGAATGACATGATTATCCATGGATACACATTCAATGACTGTAATCAAACCTCTTGAAAAGGATGAAGGAATGATGGAATTAGCTTCTTTAAAAGCAGTTATAACCCATTCTCCACATCCTTGTCCTTCTTGAAATCCAATCTCATCGAAGTTGTATGTGTCACAGGCGTGAAATTGATACTGCTCAAATAGAATCCGGAGACATTCAAACCATGTATTGATATATCCAATATCTTCAACTGCCACTCTCTTTGGATCCATTGACTTCTGTTTCACCCTCTTATACTCAGGTAGGCGTTCAATGAACCTATAAGTCCACATCTTGCTGACTTTTGAAGGAGAGGTAGTAGGATCTATGTGCTGACGTCTGAGCATTGAATTTGCGAAATCTTCAATGTGTTCGGCTGTGGGAGGACAATTCTTTTTTCATCAAGAAGCTTGACCCATCGTTTAATTGCATCCTCCTGACTCTCATTTAATCTCTTGTTAACTGGAATCTTTGCAGCATTCGGATTCCTTCCATTGATACGCGCTCGGAGACGTTGATAAGGAACCTCAAATTCTCGTGACAGAGGCAGTATTTTGGAATTTGGGTTTTTTTGGTGGTAAGCGACAGCTTTTTGAATACGGTCTTCGATATTTTTATCCTTATTTGACATTGTGGTGAGTTATTAATTGATGAAGATGATGAAGATGATGAAATTGCAAGATTTTTATCATTTCGGTGTTTTTATCGTTTTGGTATGGCGCACGCACACAAGGTGTGGGTTGCGCAGCGGCACGATTAATAAATACCGGATAGATCTGGGGTGGGCACCTGACATTCGTCCCTGACAAGACAAATCAAGTCCTAGCTGCCGTCCGAGACTTCACGGAATACTACCCCGATGATAAGGCTGCCATCATTGCGTCACACGGCATAATCCCCGGCAACAGACATGGTGAATATCTTGTTGGTATGCCCAATTTTACGACAGCGACGATGCCCCCCTCTCGGGACGTTTGATAATTTCACCACCTCGGCCCTTTACCCAACACCTAATATTAGACATAGCAGTTGAAGCCACCACACTCTCCCCAGCTCCAACCACCCTGAGGCCCTGCAAGCAATCAACAACCGCTTTGGAATCTATCGTGACGGAAAATAAGCTCGTTCCAGGCCTGCAGACCTTTTTGACCTGCCAGCCAATACCCAAACGGCTCGCGCGCCATGCCCGGAAGAATGGCGGGGGCCTGCGCGATCATGACGACTCTGTTGATAGAATTTTCATGGTGATGAACAATGCGTACAATCTCACATCTGACATCCCACGGACGGAGGGGGACAATGACATCCCTCGTTGACGGGATCCGTAAGGATACTCTGGATGAGATTAAGAATGGGGCGCTTCCCTGATGGATATCTGCCGCTGTTTATGAGTGATGCGTTTCACAGGAATGACTTTGACCGGTTGAGACCCCAGGAGTTGAAGCATGCAAAGAAAATGAGGGATGTGTATGATCCCAATGGCTTTTACCAGAGTCACACAGGCAGATTTAAGATGTGAAGAGTGTAGATATAACATATTTTGGGAGCCGACACATTGTGATAGATATAACTATCGTAATCTACCGCTGGATAGGATAGTTAGCTGTCGATAACGGGGGCTTGTAACCAGACACCGTCATGCACAATTAAGATAATGTCCCTACCAGGCATATTTTTCATTCAAATGATTCTTGTATTTCAATTTGTCCCCCAGAACATCTTGCAAGTCAGAGCCCTTATCCACTTCCGTTCGGTGCTGTGGTTGACTCTGCCAAGTTGATGTTGCGATATCCCGCTGTCAGAAATTACCAGCCATCAAACCCTTATTTTGGTAACTAAATAGTTAACACCTGGAGTGCTTCACAAAACAACTTCTTCCAAGGTTGTAACACCTGGCTTTAAACTCCGGGCACATCTGTCGTTTTCTAATACCTTCTGCGTATATACTATTGTTTCTGCCCTTCTTTCACAGGGCTATTTATCTCCCACGATTTTCCACAACAATAAAATAAGCATCCGGCAAATCCGCAGCCAAAACAGCGGCAGCACAAACAAACCACTTTGTTTTTTCCCTCCCCAGCCACATTACTTACATAGTTTGTTTGAACCAAGTGACAGCGCTTGGGAGGAAGAACTGGAACTAAACTTGCCCTAAGGCTACAACCAATTTTTTTTTTTCTTTCTTTTCTGTGTTTTTTAGTTTTTTTTTGTTCCTTTTTTTTTTTTTTTTTTTTTTTTTTTTTTTTCGCTTCCATTTTCATTTCCCTCCTTTGCGACCCATCTTATCTTTGACGTTCTTACGATCCGTAAACGCTTTTCATCGTCATCGAGAGTCCACCGTTTTGCGATATTTACGACCGTGGTAAAGATACATCGCTGCGCAGTTTTACGAACAACAAACGATATCGCGACGAGTATAGAGCAAGCGCTGGAGCTTTCTTGTGGCATTTCCGATTCATACGAAGAAGCCAAGATGGACCTCTCCAATATCTTGTACGTCCCGCGTTCCTTCGTCTCTTCATGGGGAGGTAGAGGTTAATTGGAAAAGTAAAAAGTCTTCTGCGACTCAGTTTGTCCATAGGATATAGCATGTGAAGTACACGCTAACGGATTTTGATCACCGTGAATTTTACAGCCGCATAATCAACCTGTGCGTCGGGGCCATTATGGTCTTTGGTGGAATCAGCCAGTTCTTCCCCGTAAGCATGTAAGCAGTCGACTTCCTTTCACTTATCCGGGCTGCGAGGAGATGGGGTTTCTCTTCTCGTTCCCCAGAAGGTGTGGTGGCAGAATTGCATGCGCGTGGAAACACCTGTAGTGGAACCGCAGCCCGGATAAATTTTGGCTAACAGAGCGGTTTCCGGTGAATCATTCGATGATACAGAGGCAGCGTTATCATCGGTGTTTATGTGATTCTATTTGGTCTGGGTGAGTCTTCTTCACGTTTACACCTCTCCACAGGAGACCGGGACCTCGAAAAAGGCCAAAGATGGCGCTGGAAAACTGCCGCGGACTGACCCTTTTCAAATTAACACTGCAGTCGTCGGCGCTCTGGAATTCGCCCCAAACCCCCCCTCATACCTCTCGCGCTATGCATCGTTCCTTTTCTCCTTCCTCGGACGGGGCCTGCGTAAGTTTTCATTGACACCATGCACAAATACCGATGTCACAACCATGCCTTTTCTTTCCTTCCTTTCCTTTCCTCCCACATCTCTAACCCTAGCCGAAAATTCTTCCAGTGTACGTGTTCATCGGCTCCATACTCATTGAGGGACATACCCTGCGCATCATTGCAGGCACCGCCGTCGGCTTCGCGGGTCTCGGATACGCTGTCTTGGAATTTGTGCCGTCGATAGAAGCACCATCCACCATGCGCGAGGCGGATGCCACATGGGGAGCTGAGCAGGTTTAGACGGGAATTTTTGTATAAAATAAGTTATGAATTATAAGGGGGATGATGTTGATGATATTTGGATTGTTGTGCTGTGTTGTACATCTGTTAGCCGTTCCGGTGGGGCATATATTGCTAGATATTCTGTTGCTTTTTTTTCTGGCTGAGAGGATGGTGGAGATTGGAGAGGGAGTCTTTTTTTTTTTTTCTTCTTCTTCTTCTAAATACTGGACTGCTAAATATCTTTTCCTTGGAGACAGGGAGGGGGAGGGATAATGCGTGTTGCGTGTAGCCTTTCCGCTGTTTTACTTCTCCGAATGAGGCCTCTATTGCTGTATATTTTTGGGGTCTCTCTATTGGTTCAAATATTCCCGATTGTTAGAATGTCTTCCCTTTCTCTCACACTCTCTCAACTTTTTGGGTCCTTGTTTTCTTTTCTTACACATTTTCAGGTTTCGTCAATGGCATTGTGTTGAAAACTGCAAACATACCCAATTGAGGTTTTGATCCCCACTTCCTTTCTATAAGTGACAGGAATGTGTACTTGCAAGCACCCTATCGTCTGGAAAAGCATTATTGCGCCGGTCAAGGATATCTATATACACATATACCAGCAGAATTGAGATCATTGAGGAAGGAATGGAAGAAACGATCGATATGCTATGTGCAATGATGCCCATGAGGAGAAATGATATAAACAGGGAAAACTGCGACGGGTAGCTTGGGTTTTATATCCAAATTCACGCCACCGCGCTCTTCCATTTCTACGACGGTGGACGTCCACAAGCCGAAGAGAGGGCCTCGATCAACTTCTATTTACAACCTTGGAAAGAATCATCCTACCGGATACGAAACGTCTCATCTCATGGATGGGATTTGGAATCAGCCTTCCCCGATATCTTGAAGCCACATGGATCTCTGCTGCTAGCTATAGGACACCCTATTTTGAAAATTCACGAAGACTGAAGACAGGAGCGGTTTTATGCCGGAGTACCATTCCGGCGATTCCGGCGAGTGGCATGAATAGCTGGATCCGAGATCAAGATTGTCCACGTTACGTCTTATCAAGAGGTCCCCCGCTGTGAGGTGATACATAGTATTTTGCTGGCTATTATTATTTCGTTCGCTGCCCATCAGGAATGTCACTCATCCGGGCAAGTTATCATATATTGCAGTTCGAACCTATCCCACCTGGGATCCATCCATGGGTTGTTTCCGCTGAGAACCCCTCAGGCGTCTGTCTTATCAGATGGTAACAGGTTTAACCAGTTAGTTAGTCATCCCTCGGTTGCTTAGTTATCAGCCCAGCCAATCAGAGCGGTTGTATTGTTGATTTGCAACTTCTGTCAATTTCTGTTGATGATTACTAAAGCCTGGATCCAATAGGAAAAGGGAGAGTGTTTTTTAGGATTTTTTTAGGGGATTTTTCTCCCTTCTCTTTTCTTTTTATTTATATTTTTCTTTTATTCTTTTGATTTTTACTCCGAATCATCGGCAATCAGATCATCGGGTTGGAAGGGGACTGACAGGTGACGCAGTGTGTGTTGACAGTGATCTCATCTGATCTGATCTTGATCTGATCTTATCTGGGGATTCAATCAATATCAGGGTTGAAATTGAGGAGAGATCCACGAGAGTCCTTTTTTGCATAATAGTTATATTCTACGAACACACGATGGATGGCACCGTAATAAGAAAGAACTTTGATTTCGCTCACTGCCTACGGAGAACAGCTACAACGAGTGAGGAGATTTGGCGGTTGAACTCTGTGGTTTTCCAAGAGGATTTAAAGACGCATTGCTTGGTAATTTGGTACCCTTGTTTTTTTCCCTGATAAAATTCAAGATGTTTTTGGTTGTGGATTGTGTCTCCCAATCTGCCAATCCTAGGGTTCGGTACGCGGATCGGTAATCGGGAAGAGCAAAGAGCAGGATAAGAATATGACAGCTTTAACAATAAAGAGAAGCAAAAAGGGGAAAGGAAAAAAAAAAGAAAAGAAAAGTAAAAAGGGTTGGGCCTTTCAACAATGGCTTGAGAGAAAATATGCACAACTTCTCCCACGAAGAGAGTTCCCTGAAGGGTCCAATGGGAAAGGCACAAAATATAAGCAGCATCGGCAACTGGTTGCCGGGACCTAACTGTTTGATGGTTAAGAGTTTAAGTTAGCTACTCAGTGAAAAGGTTCACTATCAAACCTTGGTGTTCCATGATGTGGTACCTCTATCGGGGCCCATGTTAATTAAGGCTTGGTTGGATATGGGGGGAAAGCTATACGGAAGGGCTGTCTGAATTGATTGCTCCGTACCCTATCTATCTCACCGAGAAAGAGAGGGTCCTCCAAAAGGAAAATCCCCGTGAGGTATAGCAATGTGAACTTTAAACCCTGAGGTATGAATTCCCAAGGTTTCGAAATTACATGATATATTGTAGCTGCGCAATCAGAATTGAGCGTAAGTCGTGTAGTCCTTAAAATATCGCGAGTAACTAAAAATACCTAAAATATCCAAGATGTTTGACAATGACTGTTAAAGTAACAAACACTTTTTGTTGATCATAGCCCACTTGACTGACTTGACTGTTTGCGACGCCTCTTCTCTTCTCTCCTCTCTGCACGCCCACAGCCGTCTTCCATTCCTTCGACTCCTCACTCTCCGTATCCTTCTCACCTCCCTCCATCCTCACCCAACTAATATCATCTGTACGATCAAATTATTTTGTGTCAGCGTCTCTCTTCCCCTCTGACACCCCCCCCCCCCCCCCCGCGCCCCCCGCGCCTGGCACTTGGTTATTTATCGCTTTCAAAGGTGGTCACCCGCCTCCGGGCTTCTTTCTGGTTGAGGCTTGCACCACCCTCTCAGCTCAAGAGCTTCTCCCCCAGCATCTCGTTGACAGGGTTGGCGACTTTTGTAAAACCAGGGGTATAGGGACCCACTACACGCCTGCTCGACTGCGTCCCGAGTCTGTCTTGTGATCCACAAGCTTCCATTTAGGAGAGGCACCCGTTTATCTAATCAGATCGTGATCAAACTGAAACTGGGAACTTGGGCTCGGTCTGGTTGGCTGCCTGGAGTTACAGCAAACAGTGCTTGGTGTGCTGGTCGAGTCAAAAGCTATTTTTGTCAAATACTCACAGATATAAACCTTGTTCACGTCAATATCTGCATTCCCTTCGAACAAAGCAGCCCCATACACAGATTTCAAAACAAGTCTAATCTACCAACCTGTGTCGCTTTCCTCTGCCCTCTTAGCCACTCTGTTCTTGGCCCGTTTCTCGACCCTCGTTATTCTACCCGGAAATCCGCACCGTTGGTTACGAAATCGTGTCTGGAAACTAGAATGACGGGGCTGTTGGTCACTAGGCCACTTATGGAGGATACAAGATCACATTCAGAGAGCTCAGATACTCTCATGCGACATCCATCCGCAGAAGATTTGGATGCAGCGCACCAGCTGGTGTCCTCTGCGCGAGGTGGACGAGATAGCGGGGTGAACATCATGCCAGATAGGCAAGATATGGCCAAACCCTTGGAGAGCGTCCAGGAGGATACTACAACGAACACAATGGACTCGTCGCAAAAGGGTTATCAGGGCGCTACTGAGCAGCCCCAGGACCAACCGTCGCCCGTATCTTCCAGTACAACAAATGGACCATTATTGCTGAAGTTATCTCCTAAAGCGCCGATCAAGGAGTCTGTTTTCACGGGACATTCATGCAGGTGCGTCGGCCATTTTTGCGCCTCGAGAGCCCTTTCGTTTATTATGTGTCTTCATCGAATATACTAATAATTTTTTGATTGGTAAATAGCAATTGCGGTACGAAACAAACACCGCTATGGCGGAGATCTCCCACTGGAGCTACAATTTGTAACGCTTGCGGCTTGTATCTCAAAGCAAGGAATGCTGATCGCCCGACCAACCGTTCCCGTACTCTGGCGCCTCCCTACGGCCCCAATCCCGCCCAAGACCCTGACAAGTCACGGGGCAGCACACCACCAATTCCCAGCGATGGAGGTGATCCACAACGGCCGGACACGTGGTCAAACTATGCCGTCAAGGAGTGTATACCTTCGGGATCGTGCCCAGGCGGAGGGAGTTGCAATGGCACTGGTGGTGCAGAAGGCTGCGATGGATGTCCTGCCTATAACAATCGTGTCTACAAGTCTGCTGCTCGAAATGCCCTGGCGCTTCATACTCGAAGAACTTCCCCGCAGGCGTTAAGCCAAGCGGGCACCGGTGGTGCTGATGGTGAGGCTGGCGCGTCGAATGTGGACGGGATGACTCTACACATTGCTTGTCAGAACTGCCAGACGACAGTAACCCCTCTCTGGAGACGTGATGAGCATGGCCATCCTATTTGCAACGCTTGTGGTGAGTATATATTTCTATTCAATAACGTCTATTTGTTGTGGATGGGTGGTTAACGATGCGTGAATATAGGACTCTACCATAAACTCCACGGCTCCTATCGTCCGCCCACGATGAAGAAGTCGATTATCAAGAGAAGGAAACGTGTAGTGCCTGCAATGCGAGAGCAATCTCCCGCTGGCGCCACTCAATCTTCAAACGGCTCCGCTTCCCCCGAAACATCTCCCGCCAACCTAGCACATAACTACGACAACCAGCGCAAATTCCACAACGTCGAACAACCCAACGGCCACCAATCCCGGTATGGCCCACCCTTGTATCCTCAAGCATACCGCGCCCCGCCCCCGGCCGATTTCACAGGCTACACCTCAAACCCCATTTCCCTCCCTCACCACCACCGTCCCCCACAAAGACCATATGATACCGAAACCACCACCACCACCAACGCAAAGAAACGCCCCATCTCCGAATCGTCCGTCGAAGATTCGCAACCCACCGACCACTCCACCCACCTAGCTCCCATAAACCCCCAAATTGCCTCGTCAGCCGCTCATCGGTCGCGCCTAAGTTCCATCTCCTCCCTCCTCAACCACCCAGGCGATGCCCGTCGTGAAGCCCGCGTTGACCCTTCGCTGTCGCTAACTCCACCGCTCCCACAGCAACCGCAGCAAGCTCACACTTCTCCGCGCTCACCCACCCGTCTCAGTCCCCCTGCATCCCCGGTCCTGCCGCCCGTGGTGACCACGCCAGGTGGTAGCGGCTCTGGCGCGATGGAACATGCGGACTCGCGGGCGGAGAGGCGGGCACAACTACAACGTGAAGCTGAGGATATGCGGGAGGCGTTGAGGGCTAAGGAGAGGGAATTGGCGTCGTTGGAGTAGAGTGTGGGGGGTTTGGGCGGTTCATGTGGGTGTTATCGCTTGTACGGGATCGATGAAAGGGCCATATTTTTAATTTTAATTCCCCCCCCCCTGGGGTTTTATATTTTATATTTTATATATATATTTTCCCCCCTTCCTGTAGGGTGGGGTTTGTGTTACACTTTTAGGAAGATATTTTATGGATATGGCCTCGGATACGCCCGAAAACTACAATTAGCTATTTACATGGGGATGGGGAGTTTTCTTGATTGTTTTAATCTTTTCATGTTTACCTTCAACCCCCCTATTTTTCTTTTTTCTTTTTTCCCCTTCTTCTTTTTCTTCCTTTCTTCCTTTTTTCTTCCTTTATTTTTATTTTTATCTTTATTTTTTTCCCCTTCTCTCCTCTCCTCTTCTCTTCTTTCTTTCTATCCTTTTCCCTTTCCTTTATTCTTTATTCTTTATTTTTTATTTTTTATTTATTATTTTTTATTTATTATTTTTTACTTCCACCCTATCTCCTCTCAATTTCCTAATCGTCCGACTCTTCTTGTCTGCGCAGATTATGTGGCTTGTATTGACATCCGCTCATGTCCCTGTTTCCCCCCGTCCTGTTTCCTTGTTGAAATGTTCCAGTGAAATTGAGGCGGTAGAGTGTTTCCCTTTCATTGTAAAGAGACCGTAATGAATGCTTTCTTTATATAGTCTTCCTCCCCTGTATAAATATGTAAATATCTTGTAGTGTTAATCTAGGCGGTCTACCCCTTTTTCTCACTGCCCAACGCCAAGATCTTTATATGTCGACTCGGGCGTAGTTAACTAACTAATCATGTGACTCAACTCTTGGGCTCAGAGGGTCGAAATGTAACCAACCAGACGGTCTCTGTCGCATCCAACAACCATCATCACCCCATCTGGGTATCAGGTGTGCTATTTGAACTGGCAAGATTGAACCTTTTATTTAGTTCAATGTACAATTCGCAGATTCTTTCGCCATTGCATCTGGAATGAAGGTCATGTCAACAAACAAATTCAAGCATTCCAACTTCTGTTCATTACCATAAATGCCCATCAATGAGTTAACTAACTATATAGCGCCCTGTTCCAAGGACGCGTTGAGCTCAGGACATCAGGGTTTTATCCCTTTACGTGTTCACCGCCACCTTGTCCTGCATGGATGGCTACTCTGATGTGACTTCCAATGCGCCGTCTCTTCAGGAGAAATGCTAACTCCCCCGCTGCTGGAACCCCGCAATCTTCGAAACTGGACAATCTATTCAATCATATCAATGACGTCGAGTCTCATAAATAAGTCAACGGGGATCCGAAGCCTCTGGCCAGTAAAGGTTTTTTTTTTTTTTTCTTTCTTTCTATTCTTTTCTGCAGGGAGGGGTCTTTTGCATGACTAGCCAGTGAGTATGAGCTAGCTAATGATGTTATTGAATTGCTCTGCAGAGAGTGTTTTTTAGGGTTTAGTTTTATTCATGTTGAATGAAGGGTTATATTCTCCTCTTCTCTCCCTTTCCGGCTTCTCTCTTTGTTTTCTTTGAAATTTTCTTTGCATTTGGCTCTCGGCATGCCGGCCAGATATCATTTAACTCGATGGAGAGAGACGGAGGAGGGGACGGGAGGGAGATGGAGAGTTTTTTTGGAATTTGGGATTTATTAAAATAACTTTCTCCGTCAATAAGGAAAGTTTAGCAAGTGGTTGAAGCTTAAGCTGTTGGAAGAAGCAAGCAACAACCTAAAAAGTCCGGGATACGAAGCGGAGTTGCACGTGATCTTCAGGTCTTAGGGGAAACTGGAGTTGATATTCGCTGTCTGGGTATGAGGACGAGGAGTCTCTGTCGGGGAGTAGGCAGTGCGAAATGGGCTGAGAGCCTGCCTTGGGCATGAGTCGTTCTACCTTCTAGATTTCTTCCCCAAGCCTCAATGACTGACCGCCGTGGCATCCAACGTCAAAGGCACGGGTGATGCTGATTGTCTATATGGAAATCTACATCTATGATGGATGACTCTGGAGAACTGTTCGTGCAAAAGTGTAACATATGTGGTGCAATTATCGGCGGAGAACGCTTCAACTGGCTCAATGAATTCCGCGCTGTCTACACCGTGGGCAAGACATTTAGAGGGCGGGGTCCCAGATGGTCTTCCCTCCGTTTATCTGGCGTCGGTGTCAGATCGAGGGATGACGTGTATAACCATACGGCATCACCGCCGATTGATCCTCAGCGACGATACGACGATGAACAGAATGGTGTAGCCACATTGTCGATCAAGGACATGTGCCCTCCATTACTTCCGCCGCCACATTCGTCCGTATCTCCGCAAAGTAGCGTCGATACTCGAGGTAGCTGCTATGGTTATCTCTTTCATGACGCTTGCTGGACATTGTTGACGAAAGCACTCGCCCCGGCCGAGGTCAATGTGTGGGCTATGTACAATTTCTGCAACTCCTTCCCGTCTAGGTCCGGGTTGGTCAACTGGGGTCATGATTATGGAGGAATTTTTGACATGTATCCCAACACTCTACCTGGGGGTACCCCCCGGCCACAAGTTTATAGAAGGATCCAGAGGACTGTTGCAAACGGCTACTCCGCAGACGAGGTATTTCACGCTGACCCTCTTCGCATTCCCTTCCTCGATTTTCTTCGGAATGGAACAGCAATGGGCAAGCAAGGCGATGGCAGTATTGGATCATCCACAGGCTTCTCTTCGATTTTCGTATCCAGAAGTTCTCGGAGTAGTGACGCAAACGACTGCTTTAGCGTACTCCCTCCTGAACTCCGGCAAATGATACTTAGCCTTCTGGCAACAGCGGATGTGTTAAACCTTTTCCTGGCATCGAGGACCTTCGCGAACTCCCCACTTCTACAGAATTTCTGGGCTTCAAGGTTCTTCGGCACCTTTGAATTCTCCTCAATATTTGAAGCAAGACAAGATTCTGCCGCATCACCACGCTCTCGCGATTGGAGATCCCTTTTCCATTTCCTTCGGAGGCACACTCACATGTTAAATTTCCAGAACCGCAAAAGGATTTGGGAGATCGTTCAGCCTCTGGCGGATAACCTCACTCTCTTTTCCACTGTAACGATTCGTGGAAATCTTCCTTCCGCACTTGATGGTAAGTTGAAATGGAAGAACGCTAGAGCCTCCATGAGAGAACTAGGCGATGACTCCTTTGCCGGCGATCGAGTTCTGTTCAGTCGCACGGCAGATATTTCACCTAGTATTGTTGCAATCCGCGTTTCAACGATTCGTTTTGGTGATTGTGATTTCGTTACTGGGCTCTGTTTCGTCGATGCTAGTGGGACGGGAATTGAAATAGGCTACACTCTTCCTGGGAATGAAACATACATCGACCTCCATGACGACGCAATGTCAGATAGTAAAAGCTGCTCATTTTGTGGGTTCTACTTCTCCATTGGCACCAATGGGGTGCGAGCATTATCCGCAGTAAAGGCATCGGGCAACAGGTCTCCTTGGGTGGGTTCGCCCCATAATATTCCACAAATGCGCCTGCTTTCGATTCCTAGCAACATTAGGAAGATAAAGGGAGAATTTGATGTAAGTTCGTTGCTTCTTGTATTCTTCTTAGTATCGCTAAGATCTCCGACTCTATGGCCTTTGTTGAAACTAAGCCATGAGCTAACATAATGTACAACAAGGGGCTGAAACTGATATCCCTAGGCATTGGGCTGCAAGAAGAATATGATCCTTCACACTTTGAACCCAGATCTCTTCGTGACTCCCTACAGTGGTTCCCAGATATCCCTCACAATGATCTATGTCTGAACGAGGAAAACTCACACACAGCCAGTTTCTTTGCAAGGCCCCTCTACCCGACATTCTGGATACATTATGGCGGTGCTCAGGGAGCTTATCTTTCAAACGTCATCGCGTTCTCCGTCCTGGCGACCCCCGAAAGGTGCATGAGGCTCGAAATCGAGTATGATAGGGAAATCCAGGGAACCAGAATGCACACCCTTGGAGATTGCGATACGTATCTAGATTCTCGGCTGGTGGAGGATGAAAAAGTCACTTTTCGCATTGATGGACCAAATGGGGAATTTATTTCGGACGTTCAGGTTGGGAAATTTTCGGAGAAATCTAATCTTTTGAGTTGCTTGCAGGTAAGGGGTTCCTTGAACTTCTTTTCCATATTTCCTGCGATTATATCCAAGTTTCTAGAAAATTATCTGCTAATAAACCCGCGCTCAAATAGATCAGAACAAATCGTGGCCGGTCGGCCACTTTTCCAGATACCAGGGCCGGCGACGTTAATTTCATTTCCCTCGTGGCAACCACTGAAAAGAAAAAACACAATCGCATCACTGGATTCTATGCAAAGGTCAGTTCGCAAATATATTTATCTTTCTGATATCCCAAATCTCACCCATAGCTACCGCGCACTTCGACAAGACACTCTAAATATGTGTGTTGCTACTTTAGACCGTGCCCAGGTTAAGGACCTTAGGGGTTATTTCGGAGCGCATTATATCCGCCCCTTTACCTCGAAAATGATATATGTATCGATAGGTTTTGATAAAAAAGGCACCGGGGATTCTTCTAAAATGGCAATTCTTCTACAATGGCAATTGGGGTATATGATTTTCGACCAACTCAGGTATCAAAGTTCGATAGCAATCTCATACAAGGCCAGCCTTCTATGCTTGAACGCATCTGCGTCCATCCAAGAAAATCCGACGTGAAGCCCACAATCTGATTTATCCCTAAAGCCGCTCGCTCATCGAGTCCAAGGGAGCTTTATAGGTAGATAAGACGCTGAGGAATTGACGGCAATATTCAAAACCTCTTACATATGACAACTTTCTCTTCTGCTCATCGTGTTGTTTCTGCTTTGGGCTACGATGAATTATGATTTTTACTCCAAGACAACCGGAATGTGGAATGCAGTTAATATCGGTTGTTGGTACTCCGTACATTCCATGTATTTTGGATGAATATTCATATAACCTGCAAATGAAGATGGACACTACACATTAACGTTCATGATGTTCAGAGTTAACTAACTCTGGAGTGAACTGGCTGTGACATTTAGTTTAACCAGCGGAAACGGACAATAACCCGTCTCAGCAACTGATGCTACCTTCTGGCATGTCTGGGGCTATTCCAAGGTTGGGAAAGCCGGAAGTGGATCAGCCCGGTGCCCCATGCTAGTTACGCCCGGGTGTTGGTCCCAGCCGTGCTAACTTTAGCCTTAGTCTAAGCCTCCTTGGGCTTTTATCATTGACGAACTTACTTGAAAGCCGTTCCGTGTCTCTCTGCAATAGTGTTCCCTGTACCGTGTTGAGTTGCATACTCTTTCCATCATTATCGTCAGCCCCACTCCCACTATACCATTCTTGCCATGGAGCTACTCCGACAAGCATTTCCCCCGCCGCCGCTTCCGACGGCTAATTTCACTGGGAAAACAGTCATTGTGACAGGCGCAAACGGTGGTCTTGGAAAGGAGGCCGTGAAGCATTTTGTCCGCTTGGGAGCGAGAGTCATTGGAACCACACGATCAGCGGAAAAGGGAACAGCTGTTCTTGCAGAGATCAATGCCGAGACAAATCGGCCTGGACAGGTTTCAATCTGGGACCTTGACTATGGCAGTTATTTATCCGTTAGAAGATTCTGTGAACGCGTCTCGTCAGAACTTGAGCGTCTGGATGTGCTTATCCTGAATGCAGGAGTTGCGACGCGAGTATTTGAGTTGTTCGAGGGTGACGAGAAATCGGTCACCGTGAACGTTATTAGCACATTGCTGCTAGCATTGTCTATACTTCCAAAACTCCAGCAGACAGCTGAGAAGTACAACACGACCCCGTGTCTTACCGTGACGAGCTCCACGGTTCATAAGTGGGCCAAATTCCCTGAGCGCGACGCTGCAGATATATTTGCTGCTCTCAGTGCGCCAAATACAACCACCATGCACGAGCGGTAAGCTCACGCTTCAAAATCCAATTCCCTGGGTGAAATAATAGTTTAAAGGTGTTCATGTTCCCCACCCTACCAATGAAAACTTGATTAATGATGCTTTTTCTGTAAATATTTCGTATATCCGCCTGTAGCTACTTTACCAGCAAGCTCCTCCAACTTCTCGCTATTCGGGAGCTCACTTCACGTACGGCTCCCAGGTACCCGCTAGTCGTCGTCAGCCTTGTTAGTCCAGGGCTTAGTGACACCACTTTGTTCCGTGAAAAAACGGGTTTCGAAGCCATTGTTCAACGTCCCTTATTTTTCCTGTTTGCCTGGAAGCCAGAGATGGGCTCTCGCACCATAGTGAATGCAGCGGTAGCTGGGCAAAAATCTCACGGTGTATTCATTAATAAATGTGAGATTGAAAAGTATGTTCAGCCAGATGATTGTTATTATTATAAAATTTGCTCCTTAACTACCACTCCCCTCTTTTCTGCTTTCTACGCAGAAGAAAACAAACACGGAAATCTAGCTTTTATACCGGGGTATAAAATGTCCTCCTCCCTGACGACCTTGACTGACCAATTATATATAGTAAGGCCATTGCTCCCTGGATCGAAACGGACGAGGGCAAAAGGATACAGGAAAAGGTTTGGGCTGAACTTCAGAACAAACTGGAGGCGATTCAACTAGGAGCTCTTACTATGATTTAACTAAATATATATATATTTGGCTCTGATGATTATGAGCCTACGTGACATTCTGTATTGGAGAACGAGGTGCCACTGAGCAGCTCCTGATGGTTAGAGGTTTGGGACATATCCCAGGACATACCGCAAATATGCAAGAGATCTGTAATAGTGGTACAATCGGAATCGAGGGATGCGCCATGATCTAATATCATGGCGGATTTTTCAAATCCATGGAGATTTTGGTGTATGAGGTATTATCTATGCAAAAAATTGGACTTAATATAGAGAAAGAAAATAGGTAACTACAAGTGACTACTAGCTATGGGACCAAGAAACAAATATTGTCTACGAATAGACTCGAGTTGTGGGCCTTCTTTTGGCCTAACTCGAAGTCATTGGAATGTATGAAACACGCCGGACGGTAAGCCTCATCGCGAGCCTCCACATAAGATAATATGCATCTCTTCAGTGAAAGCTACCAAAGATGAAAGTGGCATTTCCCAGCTTAACCTAGAGCAAATAAGAAGGATGGTCTGTATCGTTATTATACCCATTCCATCCATAGAGCGGAGAAGCTCACTCGACGGATAAGCACAATTACTTGTTTCACGAGGGCCTAGGTGTAACCGTCAAGGGAAAAGCGGCTTTGGCGATAACTTGACAAGGAAGCATTCGATGCCTCCTTTGCATGCCGTACCAGATTCATGATTTTATTCCAATCCGCGGTCATTCCCTTGGCTTGCTTTCGTTCTGCTCGGAGTTGCGACGACGACAACAGCAATGCTGCTCCCTTGGCCCTTTTAATCCCCGATTGCCGCAATGGCCCTATGGTCTTGGAAAGACTTTCTAGGGCCTTTTAGTCATCCTCAGCATCCCGTAGTCGCTTCCGAATCTTTCTTGCGATGGCGTCGGCAAGTTGGCTTTTCTGGGCGAAAGCATCTTCCTCATGGAGTTGTTTGTAAAGGCTCCTGAGGGCCTTGGTATAGGTCCACATTTGGTGCTTGTCCAGGTCGATCTTGTCACGGACGAACCAGAGATCGGTCAGAAATTCTATGACCCGTTTGAGAAGCTTGATAAGTTTCCAATCATCGCCGTAGACGAGGAGTGGGGTGATGCGGGAATCGCTGTGAAGGTGTTTTTTCAAGTCATCGAATTTACCGGTTTTTATTAGGGAGAAGATGTCCATATCGATGGGGTCGTTGAGTTTTGCGTGCTGATATATGGTTTGGATCATAGAACTGTGGCTAAATCCGATTTGGTCACAGGCATGGGAGATTGCCAGGTACGTCGGACAGTCGTAGTGAGCCCTCCCGCCACTAAGCAAGCGTCTGTAGGAGTCTTTTTCAGACTGAAGTTTACTGTAAATCTCAGTCCAGTACGGCTTGTGCATTGGACCAGTGACTGTCTTCAGTTGTATACAAAGTTCGGCAAAAATGTTTGCATATCTGGTATAAAATGTGGTTTTCTGGAGGTCGATCAACCGATCTTGGAGAACTTGCGCATCAGAGGACGGGACAATTCGCAGACAGGGGGTAAAATTGAACGTTTGGTCATATGTACGTAACGTTGCACGCCATACGTCTCTGGCCATTTCTAGATCTCCGTTCTCCTGTTCAAGGTTGAGTAATCTTGCACAAGCGTCTTTGTAAATTTGCAACGCACGGGTTCCGATAGGAGATAATCTCCTTTGCGAGTTTCGCAGAACACGATTAGCATATATAAGCCTGTCTTTGAGATCTTCCGTCGTGTAATTTTCGACTGGTAGTGGAGGAGATGGGACATCTGTCACGGTAGATTGATAAGCATAGCATAACGCATTCGAAGTCCTGCCTTGGGGCGGTACGGTCAACGTTTGGGAAAAAGACATCTTGTCGTTAATGGGAGATCGATATATGTTTGGATATAACAAAATTGCTGGACTGTAACACAGATGGTCCGTTTGGAGTGGTATATCGTTTTAACTGATCGTTGAAAATCGGAAATATAGCAGTAATCTTTAATGTGTAGCATTAGTGAAACGGAATGTTTTGTTCGGCCTTATATACTTGAGCAATAGGCAACTGGCCAAAATTAGCAGATGGCTTGAATCAACAAACACGGGATAAATTGCAACACGTAATTTAATGGAAATGTTTGAAGCGGTGAGAGTATCCTCTCCTTCACCGAAACGACATCCAAGCATGCACAGGGCATGGAAAAGAACGAAATAGTTGACGAGAAAAATGCGCAAATGGATTTAGCTGAACAAAGGCCGAGCGAGATCTGATTCCCGTTAAGACAGCGGCATTCTTGCCAAGTTCTTCGGTCATTGCGAACCCAAATAGTTCAAGAGACAAGTGAGCTCTCTGCGGCGCAGCCTGGCGTTATTCTTTCCACTCCCTTGGTACCTTCTATGAATGAATTCCAACCCCGACGTTGAGAGTTCGTGGCAGATAGCGAGGGATGCAGCCATGCAGATCGTGGCGATGCCCTCATTGGTGCAGATGCATCCGGCTATAGTGAATCGAATCCATTCTGTGGAACTGCAGCATTATCCCCACTCAAGCCAAATATTGAAAAATGAGGGGCATTTTTCAATTGGATGGAAGCCCATGCATGGATTGAATTTTGGGAATGCAGGCTCTTGCTGGATCAGATCCCCATCTCCATCGGAACCGACATAACATGGCCGAACTTGACGAAGTGATATCATGTAGATCACTAGGGCCATAGAGAATATGCGCGTCTATCATGCTTGTGTCATCTGCAGGCTTCTGGACGTGGAGGGGTTGACGGCTTGTCCAGGGCGTCGACTTGAGAAAGCATAGTTATGGCTAGTGCAACATGCCGGCTTTCGACCCCTTGAAATAGGGACTCGGTCCAGGGCTCGTCGTGTTCCGTAGTATGACAGGGGTAATGTAAAATCCACAGAAAATTATAAATGTACTGTAACATATCTTGAGACGTGGGGAAAATTGTTTATACGCAGGGCGTATTCTTAACCTGAGAATGACTGTTTATCACTCGTGTGGTTATTTCAAGCTGTAAACGTTCAATGAAAGATTGTGACAGAAACAACCCAAGTAATATTAACAAAAAGAATCGAGTATCACCATCTAAACACCTAGCTCTCAATAAATTCACAAAAAAATAATTCCTCCATAAAACTTGTCCGTCATTAACACCCCCACCCCAACTCCATAAAAAAATTACAGAATGGAAGGAAGAAAGGGAAGAGAAATAAAAGAAACCAAAGGTCCCAAGAGAAGAAAAAAATATATTAATGCACTGTACAACTCCAAAGTAGGAGTCTCCCAACAACAAACCACGCACCCACAACCCCTGGTGCTCCACTCTCAACTCCCCAGCTAATTCGGCTCGATGTTGACGTCACCGGCCATCGTGAATTGCCGAAGTGGTGAGCTTCGGCTCTGCTGGCGCCCATGCCTTCTGCTGGGTACCGCATCCGCCAGCCTATTGGCCTCAGTGCCATACTCCCAACGGGTGTAGGCGTAGTGAGTCTCAACCCACCCATTCAGCGGGAGCCAAGGCTTGCTCGCATATAGGCAAGGGCTCGATTCGTCGATGACGGCTGTTTGCATGTCTGCATCGAGCTCGTCATTTAGCCATGTGCCCATGTCCGTGTAGAAACGGAATGTGCGGCCGGTGATGGCCTTCATTAGATTCTCGCCGGTCAACTTCAAGTCATCCCAGTTGCCAGAGAAGAGGACTGGATCCACGAACTTCATGGCTTGGCGGAGGGTCACGGCTTGTCGTCCTGTGTGCTTGGCGAAGTATGCCTTTGGAGCAGAGAGAATGATGAACAGAGACACTTCCGGAGAGGTGTAGCTGCGTTCCATCACGCGTTCTCCGAGCCAGTTGAAGTGGTGGATGTCGGGATAATCGTATGTTTGGCAAATCTGCCAATATACTTCGTTCTTCGCTTCAGAGTAACAGTGGTACGATTGATCCATCGCGAACTGGAATTGGGCCGGAGTCATCATTTGCTCGTATGGCGCTTCCTCACAAGTTGGATATTGCGGTGACGAGTCCAAATATACGTCAATATTTTGCGGTGGAGTGTTGTCGTTTGATGGCTTGATGTGCTTGAAGTGGTCTTCGCCCACAACGGCCAGACCAGAGAGATTTCGTGGCATGATGTGGTCAACCGAACGATGTACTGATGTGTCCTTAGTATCTTCCTTCTTTTCTTCCTCCAGACATTCGTCGTCAAACTCGTTAGACCAATTGAACCTCTTCAGTTTCAGAAGACTTGAAATGCCCTTTGCAGCAATCGCCTCAACATCCTCTGGCTTCTCCAGTGGCTCCAATACGGAATCATCAAACTCATCAGCCCAGACGAAATCTTCAACCTTAAGCAATTCTTCGATGTCGCTTAGGTCGGTAAAGACAAAATCGGTTGGTGTCGGGGATGTATCCAAGCCCAGCTCTGGTACACCATCAACATCACGCGCCGAAATATCCTTTTCAACAATCCCTTCAACATTCCCCTGTTTCCTCAGTGACTCTATTGCGGAATCATCGGCCCAGACGAAATCTTCAACTTTAAGCAGCTCCTTAATGTCGCTTGGGTCGGTAACCTCAGAATCGGATGGCGTTGGGGATCTACCCAAGACCAACGCGGATACCTCTTCTACTTCTGGCACAATATCAACATCACGAACTGCAAACAACCCAAAATCATACTGGACCTGGTCTTCTAAGTACTGGTGAACTGTTGGTGGGAAACACTTGATGTCAAACAGTTCATTCGCGTCCATTGGTTGGATATTGTCTAGGACGTTTGAACGGGACCGGTATGTGATTTGGATGCGAATAAGGTCGGTTGTGGAATCTGGCAACGTGATCGTTCCGAAGATTGAATTGAGTGAGCTTATAGATGAAGGCACGAAATCGGCAAGTATGATGATATATGCATCCAGATCCTGGCTCCACTCAGCATCGTAACCATCGAGCGATGATGGTTCAGGCTCACGAGATGGTGTAATGAAAGTGGCTGAAGTAAACTTGAATTTTCCGAAGGAATCCCATATGGTGGCTTTGAAGGAGTATAGGGTGGGTGGGTTTCCAGTGACAGGATAAAGGGAACAAGCATGTCCATTTTTACTACCGGATTTGATCCTTAAGGGGTAATCAATGATGCAGGAGAATGCAGGTGGAAGATATTCGAGCGCGCTGACAGCACGACTCGACAAAACGTCTGAAGCAAAGTTCCTCCAAGCTGAAAACGCCATTGGTTTGCTGATTTTGTTGTTGTGCGTCATTTGCTGTAAATCCCGATAGATAAAGGGAGAAGCGACGGAGTTAAAAAGTGGAGAGGAGGGCTTTAGGAGTTGTAAGGACTATAGGCATCAGGAACTCTGTAAAGCAAAAGCTCACAATAAGCGAAACTTCGAGCTTGTTCGACCAGCAGGAGGAAATCGAAACTATTTTTGTCTCTCGCGTGCATGTGTTTGTGTATGGGTGTGTGTTTAAGTCAATTGGCAACGAGCCGTCACTGAGGACTGAACAACGGTGATTTGAGAAAACAATAACTCTCTATTAAGTTAACGAAGGTAAGAAGGGAAGAGATATGTTTGAGAGAAAGAAGAAGAGAGGAGAATAGGAGAACAAAAGGGTGCTTCTATAGCAGCAAACACTCAAAGAGTTGGCTAAGGACATACCAGCCACCCTGAGGCGAAACTCGCGAGTTAAACATACCAGCAGGGAATTTACGCAGGAACCATTTGCGCATTTCCAATAAGGCTGAAATTAAATATGTTTGATCGACTAACCTCCGGTAGAATCGATCCAATTTAATGAACCCGGTAGGTAGTAACAATTAATAGAAGTGCTCAGGATGTCATATTCCCCCTATTTAGGAAATTCTCGAGGGGTAGCCCCAGTGGGAAAGATTTCAAAAGTCCAACCCAGGTGGAGCAACAAAATGCACTCCGCCGCCATTCGACATGCTCCAGGCAACCAGTGTATGGAGAAGACACCGTAATAGCTGGAATGCCAACGAACAAACATTGCGGCCAGATTGATATCTTAACTCCATAGCTTTAATATATATATATATATATATATAAAAGGCAAATTATATTGAGGAAAGCAAATAAGTAAACAACGCAGTCCGAGTTCTAGCAACACCTCAGAAAATAGAGAGCTCCGTGCATGATGGTGATAATGTCCATAGGACTCTATAATAGATCATGCAATAAATGAGAAATTCTGTCAAAGATAATAGGTAGCCCATTACAACGAAAAAAGGAACATTTTCATTTCTCTTTCTCCATACAGAGGTAGAAGCTTGAAACATTTCAAACTTGCTCACAAAGGGGGTTTCCGTTTGAGAGCGATGGAAGGCATTGACAACATAAAAAACAGCAGGGGACATAATCATCCGCTTAAGGAAGAGATACGTTAGTTTTGGGCTTCGCACTTGAGGGAATCCTTCAGAATTCTGCTGGAACCCACACCGTGATCGGTGTCATTAGATGAAGATATACGCTGTTCGAAGATGAACATGAAGTTCGAAATTGCCCAATTTGATCTAGTTCGATGCTTGTCGCGCGGCTAATCTAAGCTATCATATACATGTCTATACAATACAATACACATATACATATACACCCCTGATTTCAACACCATTATCCACTATCTCTCCAAATAGATAAAATATATTTCTAGGCTTTACAAAATTTTGAAAATGTATCTGTACATAACTAACTATCTCATATTCCTCCTTGAATAATTTTTCAAGCAATTTCTCCAAAGACTTTCGATTGAAGTCCTGCGATTCCCACCCACCCCAAAGGATACGGTGTAATATTACTGTTCAGTATGGTAAGATACCCTCTTGTTCCGAACCCAGTTGGAACGACCCCGACTTCTAATTATTAATCGGTACATCACTAGATTCATACACTCAATTGCGTGTTCAACTAACTCACCAATATCTTGCCAAAGGGATGCTTTATTGTAACAGATCGATTGATAGCACATGCACTGTTTTCGATCCTGCAGCCGTGCAATCGGTTACTGCACTCGGCTCTACTCTTCACGGTCCCTGATTCCCCGCCCATTCACTTCAACATTCCCCGCCAACCCCATTGTCCCACTAACAAAGCAGTCATATATCAAAAGAACCATGGCCACGGCAATGGGCAAACGCCTTGAAGGCAAGACAATTGTCGTCACGGGGGCCTCCTCCGGCATTGGTAGAAGCACAGCCAAGGAGTTTGCCAGAACATCTCCCAAAAACCTCAAGCTGATTGTCACCGCCCGAAGGGTTGATGCGCTGAAGCAGCTTGCGCAGGAGATTAAGGACGAAGTCGGGGATGGCGTCAAGGTCTTCCCGGTGAAGCTGGACGTGACCAATCCGGACGAGATTAACAATTTCGTGGCGTCCTTGCCGGCGGAGTTCAGGGAGATTGATGTTTTGGTAAATAATGCGTGAGTCTGCACGATAGTTCTTTTGGCTGCCGCTTTTCTTTATCTCCTCCTACATTCGATTCTTGGAAACTAATGGTGTGATATTAAATTAAAACAGTGGCCTTGTTAGAGGAGTTGCCAAGGCTCCCGAAATCAATCCTGTAGATACTGATGTCATGTTCTCCACGAACGTCACCGGCCTTATAAACATGACACAGGCAATCCTGCCAATCTTCAAAAAAAGAGACGAGGGTGGTCGGGGAGATATTATTAACATTGGAAGCATTGCTGGAAGAGAAGCATATCCCGGGGGCAGCATCTACTGCGCTACCAAAGCTGCAGTGCGAAGCTTCACAGATGCATTGAGAAAGGAGCTCGTTGCGACGAGAATCCGAGTCATTGAGATTGACCCTGGCCAAGTTGAGACGGTAAGATATAATGCATACGTGTATCTATTAGCTTTTAGATTTTGCTTTTTGGGAATTACTCTAATGCGATTTATTGTGAAAAGGAGTTCTCCGTCGTTCGATTCTACGGCGACAAAGCTAAAGCTGATGCCGTTTACGCGTGCGTATATCAATCTTCCCCCAAACCATATTCAAGTGAGCCCAATTAACAAACTGAAAACTCAAGTGGTTGCGAACCCCTCACGGGAGATGACATTGCTGAAGTTGTAGTTTTTGCCGCTGGTCGTAGAGAGAACGTCGTTATTGCGGATACCCTTGTCTTCCCTCAACATCAGGTACGATAATTGGACACACCTCTCCACATGCACCTAGTATATGAATCTGTTGAAGAAAAACCGTTTTACCGTGCTGACAATATCTGAAGGCGTCTCCCGGGGTGATGTACAGGAAATCATCATAAAGAGGATGGGATAAAAATGTCTGTACATGAGGATATCTACCACCCTCCGCCGCTTCCCTGCATGAGGCAAAGACTGCCTAAAACACCCATGTGCGTAGGCTGCTAAATGTTGTATATACCTGTATATAGAAGAGAAGGTGAATCATTTCATTTAGAGAATGAGAAATAATGCTGTTTAGGGTCAAACAAGCGTAGGTACATAAGTTTTAGCTGATTCCTCATGTCAAGTACGTAGATTCCCTGGAGAAGGTCGAGGAGTAAGTCATCAAGTACACACGTGTAGCTTAGATGTAAAGAACTATAAAGAGAATATAGGTAAATCTAGAAGGTAGCGCGGGGTAAATAATATACATAGGAGAAGGGAGGATGTATTTTCTCCCTGGGTATATATAGGTATATAGATAGAGAGCTCGTTGAACCATAAGCTAGGATAAGGATAGATGGTTAAGAAAACCACACGAATATACAAGGTATCGAAAACGCCCGTCCGGCTCCTATTCACACAAGCCCGCTTCGCCGTGTATCGTTGATAGAAACTAGTGGTCCGCCGTACGCAAATTCCATAGATCCTCAAAAATAGCCCACAAAAGACACAAGGGGCATTGATCATTATAAATCACAAAGAAACAGACTCAAAAACGCAAGAGGGAGCATTACACCTCTTCAAATAAGAATGGAGTTTGTTTCCACATACGTATATATATTCCCCCCACCCAGTCACCCATCTGATCAGTCTGAGCCATGCAGCTTAGACTCGATATTAATCAGGTCGGCTTCACTATCGATTTCGATAACCCTGTTTACTTCGGCGGTGTTTCTCATTAGCTCGACGGCGCCCGCATACATCATGCGCAAGGAAGGGTTGCAGTTTTCTGGAAGGTAATATAGCAGGACGTAAGGGACGGAGAGGCGGCCGGATGACTATAAGTTTTCATGAACGAGGAGAGTTTATCAGTGGCTGGATCTTGAAAGGAGTTTTTGCCCGGGGACAGTGGTGGCATTTATCAATCACGAATAGGTCCGGATTTTCGCTGTTTGGGTATGTCTATTTTATATATCGAGATTTACAGTTATTTGGGGGGGGGGCGCATTTACCAGAGTAAGCGGGTGGCTCAGGAGAATAAACCGGGGTGACGAGTCCGGAAGTTCATCTGCAACATCTGCCATCTTGCTGTATACTTCACCGTCGACGGGGCGGACCTCTTGACTTTTCGTGTCGATCATATCTGCGGCTCACAAAGGGCCAAGAGGTTTTTTGTTATCTATCTAGTTCACGACACATTTCGAGTGCATTTATATAGGCAAAAAGCAAAGAAGAGTAAATAAATATAAATCAAGAACAAAGAGAGATGTATCCTTGCTTGTTTCTTTTCTTCTCTGAATTTATGAATTTCGTGTTTGCTGGTTTTCTTTGGCAATAGAGAGAGACCTGACACCGGGGATTCCAAAAGGTGGGGGAATATACAGATGATGGCCTGGGGTTCCTTTGCTCTGGATGTTCCGAGTCGAAACTTGCGAAGCTTCTCTTTCGTCTCCTGCGAAAAGGAGTATAATCTGGTATCGGACTGAGTGAGATAGTATGCCTATTAGCTGCTGTATGGACTTGGCTTTTGGTGCAGCACGTCACGGGCGTGAAGATTGAAGGGTCAATTAGCTTGTCTACCATCTTGTACTTGTGCAGCGCTCTGAAACACCGATAAATTCTAGGATATTTTGGAACAGTATCCTTATATCGACTAATATTTATACCCTTGTAACGGTAGATTATGTTTGGTTTTGGGTGTTCAATATTGTATGTTAATATGGAAGTGTAAGATGATAATTGGTGTGGCTTTGTTGACGATGATGATACAGGCCTCCGATACATTGGTTAGCCGCGCGTCTATTTCAATATTCGGGCGCCGTGAACATCTAGCCGAGGTGATTCCTTGACGCCCAGCATTTCAAAGAACAGTTTGCCAAATTTCAAGAGCACTTCTTGATCCAATTCTCCGGTCAAGCGTATAAGCTAAATGTTTGGTCGTGTCAACCAGTTGTTCAGACACCTCTCTCGCGCGCAACCCAATTACGTCCATCGCTCCGCTACGACAGCTGGTCGTGCGCTACGAACTCCTCCGATGACATCATATACAGAGACAGCGCTGGCGAACAGCAGGAGAACGATTCGCACGGCAGCATGTTTGATAATCGGTGATGAAGTCCTGGGCGGCAAGGTGGGTTCGATTTCATTGTTATGAGCATCTTCTGGATTTCCCTCATTCTGCCACCCCACACTCTGACACCCTGTCCTCCAGACCGTCGACACCAATTCCCCTTTTTTCGCAAAATATTGCTTCTCCTTGGGTATACATTTAAAGCGCGTGGAGGTCATTGCAGATGATGAAAGTGAGATCATCGAAGCCGTGACGCGCATGAGTGACAACTACGACTTCGTCGTGACGAGTGGAGGGATCGGTCCAACGTCCGTATATTGATCCCCCTTCAATCCCTTAAACAGGCGCAATTAGACATACACAAATTCCACTCATTTATTACATACACCGTCCCCGTTCAACAGCGCAGCCTGATTACCACGCTACACAAACATGCTGACTTTCTTGAGCGGTGATGGGAGTAGGGGCAGGGTCTAGATACCCCACCTCCCTGTCCATCCCCCATCCCTCCCAATTCCCCATAAAACAGCCATGATGACATTACCTATCAATCGATAGCAAAAGCCTTCGGACTAAAGCTAAAATTACACGAAGAGGCTCTAGCACGGATGCGCAGTCTGTCCAAGACATCACAAGTGAATCCTGATTTCGACTGGGACAAACCCTCCCCCGTTCTCACAGCGCGACTACGCATGGTCGAAATTCCCACAGACGACAACATCCCCTTAGAGGACCAGGCCCTGTTCGTCGCCGACGATCTCTGGATGCCCATCTCCGTCGTGAACGGGAACATCTTTATCCTCCCCGGCGTTCCCAAGCTGTTCGAGCGCCTCTGTCACGCCCTCAAGCCACGGCTGCGGCTCCGCCTTCCTGACCCGGAGGGGGTTGGGATTCACCGTCTCATGTTCGCGACGCCGCTGTATGAAAGTGCGGTTGCGCCGTATCTGACAGAGCTGGCGGCCAGGGTGGAACCGCGTGGTATTAAGGTGGGGAGTTACCCGCGATGGGAGAAGAAGTTCAATACGGTGACGTTGGTTGGTACGGATCTGAAGTATATGGAGAGCCTTATTCCTGAGGTGGAGGAGCAGGTGCAGGGGCGGAGGGTTATGAAGGAGGATGAGATTGATTCTCTTGAAGATGAGGCGGAGAGCCCCAAGTAAGATAACAAATGGTGGTGTGGTAATGCCATTAGAATATGTTGAGTGTTTTCATTTATGTTTATTATTCACTGCCACATTGAAGAGACAAAAATTCAGGATATTTATCTAGACCAATTTCAATGTTTTGGCCGGCTTAAAATGTTCTAATGTAATAAAACCATTTTTCTCCTTAGAGTGCTGAAGGTCTACATTCTTTCTAGCTGGTGTTGCATATTTTTTTATATATATATATTTTTTATTTTTCATATTTGCTCAATATACTATTGTTTCAATTTCAGCCCTACTTCTATTTCATTTCATCTCATTTCTTTATTTTTCTCAAACCCTCATACACTTGTGGTGAAATGGCAAAAGAGTATACAATAGCGAGGCACCAGCAGCCAGGGTAAGAAGCTACAAAGAAGTCAAAAATATCAAAAACATACGACAGCCGGGATTCGCTGGTGGTCACCCACCCAACTACTACCTAGGCCAAAAAGGCCATAAGACAGCTAGCTACAGCTAGAAAACCCCTATTCACCCTTTTATATAAACACCCGGGCCTTCGGGGCAGGGCATCATAGCCGGCCGACGGGTAGCTTAAGTGCGGCTGAGCGGACGGGAAGCCCTGGTTTCAACTCCCTGGTCTATGTGCTGGAAACTAATAGTATGGGTCATTTTGATAGCAAATAACTACCTTACCAAACCTACAAAAACAACAAGGGCCGCTGCTTTCAAATCGGTTCCCTTTTGATGATAGGTAGACCGGGACAACCATCACCGCAGCACACGCAGTGTGTTCACAGTACAGTAGGATGAGTAAGAGTTTCACTAATTCTATCACATACCGGGAGGCCCAAATAAGACAAACCCGGAACAACTTAGGTACCAATCTACGTGAAATGCATATACATCATACCCAAGCTGAAATATCAGATGATGATGACTGGTTTTATCCTTCACTCCCTTTTTGATCTTTTGGTAATATTTTTATAATGCAAGAGGTCCGTATGATCACGGGGGAGGGAGAAGTAGTGAATAGCTCAGTCGGGGGAGGGCCAAGATCATACATATTATGTTAGCGAAGAGAGGTAGATTCCGTTGTCTTAGAAAACAGACGTAAGGAATTGGCACCGGTAGCGATAAAGATACTGTAATAGGAGAGATGGAGAGGATAGATAGATATAGATCAAGATGAAAATAGAATATGAAAATTTTAAGGGACAGATAGCTATGCAGAAGAGAAGAAAACTTCACTCAATATAAAAAGATGAAACAGACACACGATGAGTGAGAATAGAGAAAATTATCGCCATAAAATGAGAAACCAAGATGAAGAAACGAAATTGAATATTGTTTAAGTTTGATACTGATGCTAGTGGACAGAATTTCACCACGCATGAAACAAATAATAACACAGAAAGGCAAAACCTAAAAAGGCAGAAACAGATAACAGAAAACGTGGTAACGAAATCCGGGTTTGACAGAGGTAGTTAAGAGGGAAAGGAGAGAGAGAGAAAAGAAAATGAATAGAAGAAAATAGAGAAAGGGAGAGGAGAAAGTGGGAAAGATACATACATATATGTAAAAGAAGGAAGAAAGAAGCTGCCAAGTTTCAAAAACCATATATGATACACAGCCTTCTATTGAGCAGCTAGGCAGGTGTTATTTAACTGGTTATCAGGCGTTACGCGGATCGAGGGAGGATGAGAAGAGGAAGAGAAGGGGAGGGCAGGGAAATATAATGAAATATAATAAGTAGGCAGCAATTAACATGATCGAGCAAATGTAAGATAGGGACAGTGAAATGAAGCTTATGGAAAGGAGAGACATGTCTTAGGAATGATATAAGAAAAGGTAAGAAATAAAGAAATAAATAATTGAAATGAGTAAGAGAAAAAAAAGGAAATGAAAAAGAAATTACTAGTAAATAAGCATCCCGGGGCAAACTCCGAGAAGTATAGGATGTGTAGGAAGATAAGAAAACAACTGCAGGGAACAGGGAGAGAAATAGGAGTCGGAATGGAGGCAGGCTAGTTGAAGAATTGATTTCGTGAAAGAAATGATAATATGGTGACAATCAAATGCGAAGAGGTGGGAGGGAAAAGAATACAAGGCGATGGGGAGGGTTATTAAAACAACACCGGAAGAATTTTTCATCGGTGTTTTCTTCTGCTTTGCCCTGCCTCTCTGGCCTGGAGGCCCGGTTGCCTGCCCGTCCGTTGCTCGTGACAACCAATTGAAAGAAGTAAAAAGGTGGTACCCGGTATGGAAATGGTTCTTTTGATGAATTCAAATGGTTTTTCTTTTGGTTGCTTGCGAAACCTGAGAGGAGCGGAATTGGCGGAGAAGGAAAGAAGAAGTTTGGGGAGGAGGGATGTCGGTCAATGAACATGTGCAATAGTTCGGACAGCCGAAATAGTCCAAAAGGAATTCACATTTTGGGAGGGTTGTGGTATTTTCCTCCGTGTCTTTTTCTTTTCATGCATTTTCAAGTTCATCCGCCATCATTCTATCCATCATCGATCCCTTTTCCTTCCTTTTTTCAGCCTTGATTGTCCTGTGCATTTCCTGTTTCAATTTCTTCCTCGAGCGGTGGTAAGTGATAAAATAACGTCTGTTGCCATGCCATAATAGAGAGATGATCGTTCCCCGTGTTGTTTTCATGGTTTGATAAGGAGAATGAGCTTGCCCTGAAGAAAATATTTTAAAACTCGATTTTTTTCCTACATTATGACGCATTTTCTGCAACAAGTACTGCCATCTTCACGGTCCTCTACATCCATTTTTTCAGGGGCTCGAGAGCCAAAGCCACCGCCCCCAGATGAATACGAGGACATCTCTTTATTATAGCGACGGATTTCCCGTACAATATCGTAGAAAGCGTTGTCAACATTGATACGTGATTTTGCAGAGGTTTCGATAAACTTGCATCCAAAGTCCCGGGCCAATGCTTCACCCTCTGTAGTTTTACATATACGGTTTCATTAGCACTGCTCTTAGATATGGGACAGAGCGAGATAGAAACATAGACATAGAGGGGTGTTATTTGTAGTCCATACCTTGCTGAGATACCACACGTTCCTTCTCCAAGTCGCATTTATTGCCAACAACGATGATGGGGAAGTAGTCCTTGTCCTTGACTCGCAATATTTGTTGCTGATAAGTCATGATTTCCTCGAACGATTGTCTAGAAGTGATGGAGTAGACCAGCAAGAAGCCTTCGCCTGTGCGCATGTATTGTTCTCGCATTGCTGAGTATTCCTCCTGTCCGGCTGTGTCGAGGACGTCGAGCAATGCCACCTCATCGTCGATAACACATTGCTTCCGGTAAGAATCTGTTCATGTCACAATTGGTTTTTGTAAGCTATCTAAACATGACTGGACGTTGAGAGGGAAGGGAGGGAAGGAGGATGAGAGCTGCACACCTTCGATTGTTGGATCGTATTCATCAACAAAGTGACTCTGGATCAATTGGATGGTCAAGCAGGATTTGCCAACACCGCCACCACCAACCACGACCAACTTGTATTCTCGAAGGAACTAGCGGTTGAAACAAACGATCAATCAATGGATCAGTTAGTAAAATATACCAAGGACTTGTGGGTGCTTTTGCTATTTTACCCCGTCCCATTCTCGCGATTGGGACATTGGGACGCATGGAGGTTGATGGAAATGGGTTTGCAAATGGGGACGCATATTGGAGTGGAAGTGTGGCAATGGAAGGGTCCAAGTCGCTCACCTTTGATGCCATGATGATTGAATTTGTTGGCTGTTTATGGTTTATTTTTGTGTAAGATGAGAAGAGAAATTCGATTGGGGGAAAAGGGTTTCGATAACTGTCAAAAGTTTCGTGCGAAGAGCGAGAGGAGGGTGTCAATTGCAGCACTCTGAGGGGACGAGGTTTGGTAAGGTTTTTGTGGGGAGAAATCCGCGCCAAAAATATATCCAACCACACTACACTTAGGGGCGAACAAGTGTTGCTGAAACCACAGACAACCACTACCAGGAACCCAACCCAGGTTTGGATCAGGGAGGTTGGTTGAAGCAGGGTGAAGTTCGACCAGAAGGGGGGGGGGGGGGGGGGGGGGAGAGGATTTGAGAAATGAAGAGGTCAGAAACAACGGTGCAGAATAGCCTAAAGAGACAAGTGATGAAGAGAATAATGAAAAGGGAATAAGAGCAGAGGAGAGTTGACAATGGGAATGGGGGTTTGGAGATGGAGATGGAGATGGAGATGGAGATGGAGATGAGATGATGCAGGTGAATGGAGAATGAAAAATGGACGGAGCAATTTAATTATTTTAGGGCGACTTTGGCTGGAGGTGGGGATGGTTTGGCGGCTATAGTGGGCGGTGGGCGGTGGGAGGTGGGCACAGTGGGCAGTGGATAGTGGAGAATGGGCACTGAGGAGTTGAAAATCATCACTATCATTTAGTTAAAGGGGGCAGATTATCGACCTCAAAATGAATGGATGGAATGTGAATTGGGACTTTAATATTGAATAGCAGCTTCAATAACTGTCTAACCGTCTTTTTTTACATCTCCGTCTTCTTTTGACACGACAAGGATCCTCCGGTAACTGCCATTGATAATATTGATATTTTACTGCTTTGGCTTTGGACAACCATGGTTGAAGATGGAGCCGAGGTAGTAATTAGGCATGGATGTACAAGGTTACCCTCTGTCACTTGAGTTTTACTTGAGTTTTACTTGAGTTTGCACCACTTTTGTCACTTGTCCCTTGGGGTACCATACCCACTTGAAGAAGTATCCTGACATCTGAAATGCTCTATTTCCAACCACTCCTCCAACCCCAACCCCAATTCCTTATTATCATATTCTCTGCTTCATTTATATATATAATAAAGTCCATCACGAATCCGACCAGCCATATGGAGTACAAATACCTCCAACGCCCCCGCTGTGATTGATCTCCTTTCCCTCCCGTCACGAACCCTGCGATCCATTCCCACCAAACGATCCTCAGCGATTCGTGGCTCTCATCGGCGCCATCACAATGGCTAAAATGAAGACCACAGTTTGCAAGTTGCTGGCTTGAGCCCTTCAATCCTTTTCGAAACCTTTCCCCATCCCCAAAAATGTGAATAATGGCCCATCCAACCAACCCTGTACTCCGCAGTCTGCATGGTCCTTCAACTGGCCTCCATTGAGTCCAAACCAATCCTATGGCGTTGCAGAATTGACCGCTCCTAATGCAGACACGCTCTCTAGGCCATAAGCCAAAGGGTGCTAACTAACCTTTAACTACACTAGCCTCTGTTTGTTTCTTGAACCCGCATATCCCTGCTATCGCCTATCCTGTCGCTATCTGATAAGAGGGTGATGTTTGCGAAGACTGCCCCCCCAAGGCGCTACCAAGAAGTCGAAGGTCGTAAAGGAGAAACCCTGGATATTTAATGAAAACCACACCAATGGCACCTCTGTCAGCTTTCCTTCCTAGTCCCAGGTGCCCTTGTTGTTCCAAACCCAACTTCGAAGTGGAGACCTGCTCTTAATTTGTCCATTGCTTCTCATGAGCTCCTCCGATCACCCCCAAAGATTTTTGGTGGGTAAACCTAAAAAGGGAGGCCATCCATCCTTTTGACGAACCATCTTTAAACATTAGATGCTATTTTCCGCTCATAAATCTTGCTGGTCTATTTTCTTAATTTGCACCAGCATCCTTTGATGGAATGATAATATCAACTGTTATCAAAAAAAAAGGGTCGAGTTCAGGCCAGCGGAAAGGCTAGTTAGAGTCAACACGAACAGTGTTACATCCAAACGCGGACAAAAGACGGCTTTCTAATTGCTCTGTTTTCTGGTTCCTGATTTCCAAAAGTCTATCGCCTGTCTTGTTGACCAATTAGCATTTTGCTAGAGAGGCAACTGTGTGCTTCAAGGGATGGGAGCAGGCAAACTCAACATGTATTATGCACTCTCTTCAAAAAGTTTGGCAGCCCCTTTCTTCTTTTTCATGGGAGAACCGTTGGTCCTTGCGCTCGCGCTCGCTGGCCGGGGCAAGTTACGGACTTTGGTTAACCGTCGGCGATAATAATGAGTATTATTAAAAAAGAGGTCTGGCAAAGGAGAAAAAGTCCCACATAAGAGCAGTTACAATATCAACATGGAAAAGTTGTGAAGGTAAAAAAATACTTTACGTAGCCGCCCTTCACAAGGGCTCCGTCAATGCTTATGATCATCGTCAATTACAGGCATCCATGCATCCATCAACTCAGATATGCCGGATCATTAGGAAGAGGAAGACATGCGGTTCGCTGGTCCATGTGAGTCTGTCAAAAGTCTCGAAGCGCCAACGCTATCCCCTCCCTCCAACCCTTCACCCTACCCTCAACATGATCCACATCCCCGAGATGTCTACACATGGAATACACGCAATCGAAATCGGCATTATTGCCAATCATGACAATTGGATACACAGGTTAGGTTACAAAAAATAAAATAAAAGGCAAAACATGGCTTAAAAGGAATCGTGATCGAACGAACCAGCCCTGGAGGACAGCCTTGCGACCTAATTATAGGCTTCTATGACAGGATTCACAAGATTGGCGGCTTTTTACATGCCTCAATTTATTTTTCAATTTATTATTATTATTATTATTATAATTATTTTTTTCACGCAGAGAATCTTACAGAAGGCTAGTTGAAGTTTTTATTTTATTTTTTTAGTGGACATTTTTACCCCGCGAAACTTGATGCTGGAATCCGTCTGGTCTCACCATCTCAGCGGTCTAGCACTATTTTAGATCAACCACGCTTCGATTCGATTATCAATCTAATGAATCAATACCAGGGACTCATAGAGCAATATCGACTACTAAATCATAAAAAAAGGAAAGAATAAAGAGGGGACAAGAAGAACGAATGTTATATCCAACAATTTGATCACTTTCTTTGTCAGACTGTCACTGTCAGACATGCGATTTCTGAACATGGTTACAGCATCACGACAGTCCTCGATGAAAGATGAAAGAGAAGGAGACATCCCATCTGGAATGCCCACAATCTTCGTCCTGAGAAACCCACATCGCCTGTCAGTCACCTGATTTAGTTACTCAAATGAGGGGCGGAAATTTCGTCTGATTGGACATGTTGCTTTTTCTTGCATGGGAGTTCAAAACATAGCATCAATCATAAGCCCTAGAAGCTTTGGCTACTGGGCAAGTCCAGGGATAATTGGATTCTGTGTGCAGGACAAGCAAAAATCCCCTCGATGCAAGCAAATCGTTTCGCAAATTGCCAATGATGCCAACGACTTGATCGGAATTAACAGGTCCAAACTGTCTATTTGCTTCCGTTGTTTTGTGGGAGCTGCTTGGATTTTGGATGAAAGCCTCTTCATACAATGACCCGAACCCTTGACTTAGCTGGTTACCAGGTCTCCGGAATAAGTTGTCCATAACTACTGGCTAGCTAGATGCAATCCAAGGTTAGAGCACATAGATTACCACCAATCGCCCGTCAGCCTTGAGCATTGAAGACCGACTTTCAACCAACTTTTCTTTCCTGGTTCTTGTTACCTCATCTCAAAACCATAGAGTTGGCTGGTTATTTAAGAAAATCTCATGCCCTTTCCCCTTCTCTCTAACCTGGGTTAATCAGACCATCCAAGCAGGTGCAGATTTAGGCACAGATTTCCCAGTGTTCCTTCACTGGATTTGGGTTTTTATGATACTAGCTTGGGCTCAATCTCTAGCTGGGGGACAGGCAGTGTCTCAACTTCTTCCTGGCCTATCATACGTCCCCTGAGATCATCTTCCATGCTTGAATCAGCTGTACTGAGCAGTATATATGGCACCCCATCGGTTTCCCCCGCCGCTCCTTGAAATAAACAGAGTGGCATCCAGTGTTGATTTTGGAATGATGTCAGGGACGATAGTGCCCTATTCCTTTTCGAAATTTTAACCACAGACTTTGCGCGTCTGTGTAATATGTTCAAACGCCGTTATTCCCGAGATCGGTTTGCATCCATCTCAGGAATACGCCCCGAACTACATCACGTTTTGAATGCGAAAACCACCCTTGTGGGACAGGGATAAGGCGGTCGGTTACTTACGGGGAATCATGCATACACTGCATGTAGGCATATCATATAAATCACACATGGAGGTTGTGGTTGAACAATTATGCTCTGTAATGATCCAGCGGTACATGAAAACCTCACTCACCAGGTTTCTGGTTATACATTTAATGAACAGCTTGCATATCAGAACCCAGACACAATTTAGCATTTATTACAGCGTCCTCCTGCTGGCTATTATATCAAGGGTCCTTCCAGTAACCTCTGTTAATCCCCTTCTATCACCGAGCAGCCATGACATGAACGAATGATACCAACACCCAATCTTTGTCGTTCGTTCCACATCCGTCAATGTAACACCCTTGTTTTTCTGAATGGTAGTGCACCAGCATATGAAATAGAACCAATATCGAATATTCTACATCACACGCCTTTTTTATTTTTTATTTATTTTTTTTTCTTTCTGTGGCCGTTTTAAAATAGGAAGCCGAAAAACAAGGGTGACAAAAACCCAATATCCCGTTCGCAGAAACCATTCGAATGTAGAAAAGAGTATACATCCCCTTTTCCATCACACGCTATTTAAACATGTTCCCCACCCTTGCAGTTGTCTTGCTACATTCATGCCACATGTGCACCTTTCTGATTTATGTATAGCAACGGTGATCCATCGGATCGTGCTTGCGTGTGTGCGGAGTAAACCAAAAATTTAATTTTTTTTTTTTTTTTTTTTAAAAAAAAACCCCTGAAGTGGGATGAATTTGTAAAAACAGAAAAGAAAGAGGTTGAGGACGTCTGGAATTCGAGAAGAAACCGCAATTTATTTTTATTAATTCGCAGATCCCTTACCCTCCCCTTCTCCCACTCTCCCCCCTACCTATAAGGTTCGGACGTCCTAGAAGTGACAGTGATACAGAACATCAAATTGGCAGCTGTGTTGTTTTTGGTAGGCAGCAGGTAGCGTGTCTATGTTATGGATGTCATTTCTGGATGATGGATTCTGCATCCGCCCTCTTTACCTCAAGTTGCATCCGTATATCTGTACATTGAATCCATCCTCGATCCAACCCCTCTGGCCGAATCTCGATCTAACAAAGATAACTTCCATGCTGATTACCTGAGACACGACATAACTATATCGCACTACATACATGGGATCGAGATTGGATCTTGATCGAAATGATACCTAGATAATGGCTTGAATATGGTTCATTTCATTCCTTGTGTCGGCGGTATGTGGTGGTCAACTTACGGTGTTATCTCGGCGCCAAGTTGTCTATGATCCCCAGTAAACGTACTTAACGAGTGGGCCCCAGTTCAAGCGGAGAATCAATGGCCCGGTCCAGCAAATTTAGCTTTTCCATAGCTAACTAAGAGGTTCCATTCGCCTTAAAGATCGCTATCAAGTTGGCATCGGGAAATCAAGCTGATATCTCGTGTAGTTTTGGATTGATATTAATTCACTATGGTAGTTATTATTGCCAATGCGGCGGTTCAACAGTTAGTCTTGCTTGCTCCTCTCCTTTCTTTCTCTTCTATTGATGATAGTTACCAAACCCTGGTTAAACTAGTTAGGGCAAAAGTAGCCACAAACTCTAACTATGCTTCCTCAGGAGCAGAATGTGCAACAGAAGTTAATGACGTAAGTTGTATGCATTTCCCCTCCTGAGAAAAATTCGCTGGCTCACCCCCTCTGAGACTCTGAGGTGAAGCGTCTAGGTATCCTTAATCTGTGGTTGGCATGGACGTTCTCTAAAAAGAAGACAAAGGCAATGAGGATCGTTCTCCTTAGTTGGCAGCTAGTTAGTTAGTTAACTAGTTAGCCCGGAAAGATGAGGATACTAACTACTCTGAATGGCGCGGGGAGAACGGGGCAGCAGCAGTCCCCAGCATCTACATAGATGACTACCTTCGACTGAAGGAAATCTTGATCATCAAGGGATGAGTGACGCCCTTCCAAATAGCTTCTTGGGCCTGTGCCCCCCCACCCACCCCCCCATGTGGGAACAGAGGGCCAGTCGCCCCCGTCCAAAGAGCATCGCGTCTGCCAGAAAACGGCGACGCCTATCTTCACAGTCAAGAAATGAGCAGCATCCCTTCGTTGTTCAAAGGCGTATCGTAGCGTTGTTTTGAACAGATCTTTCATTCCACCCACATCGCTTCCGGCGGGACCATGTGCTTTAGATGTTGATTCCCCAGGAGATAACTAGTTACATGTGGCATCCTGCTTATTTCAACTCTGTGGAACGGCGTGCCCATCAAGGGGAACGGTCTCAAACCCGGCATGTGCAAAACGAAAAAGCGGAGGAAAACCTTGTTAGTCAATGCAGAAGAAAATATTTCGATAAAGGAGGCGTTGAAGCTGTTGTCGAAGATAGGGTATCGGGGATGGTTCCAGACGGGACTTCAAAATAGCCTCGGAAAATACGATCTCGAATCCGCTCCGGCGCTCTTTCAACCACTGTTGCAAGTGGGCTAGAGTTTCATGCCAACCATATCAATGCTTTTCTTCGTTTCTGGCATTTCAGGTTCGGTATGACGTCTGACGCTCCACCTGGCTCGGACTAAGGAAAAATTATCACATGGGCCCTGCAGCTTGTCTCCGGTACATAGTTAATTTATTAGCTTTACAACTCTTGCTCTGAAGCGGTGTGCTGTTGTTGCTGTTGTATTTTCTGGTTGGGCTTATTGTTTTATTTCATTTTCCCAAATCCTTTCAAACTTTGAGTCTCTACCACTATTATTAATTTAGCTTATGCACAAATAACATCTAGATCGGAAAGCGTTTAAATATGGGATAACGGACTGATTATTGTTTGCCAATTTGCCTCCTTGGTTCCAATAGTCCAGTTCATACATACACAACCCTTGTTGGACCCCAAGTCGGGTGGATGTGGAGTATAAGAAAGACAGAGATTTTTCCTCAGCCAAAGTTTGACATGTTCAGAGAATTATTTCAATTCTTTTAATATCATCGATTTGCTTTTACCTTTGAAGATTCAAGTTCTCCCCCCCCCCCCCAATTCTCCTTCAATCCGTTTAACCTAATCATCCTAACCTCCCAGTTCCCTTTTGATCTCAATTGTCGTCTCTCACATGTTCTTTTTGCCAGAGTGGGTATACATGTCTTCATGTATAATTTATAATTCTTATTTATCCGTCTAAGTATCTGCCTTTGTGGTTTTTCCGAACCTTTTGACTACGCACACATACATGACGAGGAACTCAATTCCCATGGCTACCCCCCCATTCACAATTCTCATCCTTGGGGGCGGCATTGCAGGCGTTGCCGCTGCTCTTGCGCTCTCCCAAAATCTCACGCCCCTGGTCCCCGAACTAAAAATCTCCGTCTATGAACTCCGCGATATCCCGTCAACTTCTGGCGGCGCAATCAACCTCACTCCCGTCGCCCATAGACATCTCGATCAATTAGGTGTGCTGGATGAGCTACGCAAAATGGGCCCCGAAGGCGGCATTGAAGTAGACGAGATAGAAGTCTTCTCCTCGCAGAGTGGTAGAAAAATGGGAGGTGTTGATTTTGCGGGCAAGGATGGCAAGGGATACGGCGGGTACAAGGGTCGTCGGCTCATGCGCATATGTCTTCAACTCGCCATGATAGCCGCCCTCTCGAAACTGGAGAATGTTGAGATGGTGTTCGGCAAAAAGGTAGTGGGGGGCATCGAGACTGACAAGTGCGTGACTATTTATTTCGAGGACGGCACTTTTGCGAGGGGGGACCTGGCGTTGGGCTGTGACGGTGTACATTCGGCTACGAGGATGAAAATCGTTGATCCCGAGAGGCGGTCGGAATATACGGGTATTTCGTTCATTCAGGCTACCATGAAAGCGGACACGATACGGTCACCCACGCACTTCAAGGTTACCGCTCTAAATAGATCGAGACATGGGGCGTTGATGACAACCTATTGCGATGCTAATAAGGAAGATATCTTTGTGGCGGCATTGGCAGAAGTTGACGAGGATCGATTGACCTCTGAGATCTGCAAATATCAGGCAGCGGAGTCGTGGAAGACAAAAACCACTGCAATTATGATTCTGAGGGAAGACATTCGGAATCGTTTTGGAAACTCGGGAATTCCGTGCGTTCGGGAGATTGCGGACAAGTGCTGGGACTGGTTCCTATATCCAGTGTATCAAATACGTCCTGGAGGGAAATGGCATACGGCTAGGATTATGTTAATAGGTGATGCTGCTCACGCTGTACGTATTCCTGTTCCCCCCCTTTTGTACAAAATTCTCTGGGCAGCGTGCTCTCAAACTAACTGGGATAATTTTATCTTTTCACAGATGCCCCCTAAGGACGAATCAGCCGCTTATGCCCTGGACGATGCCATTCTCTTCGCCCGAGTCCTGGCTCTATACATCAACGAACCTTCCTTCGAAGCCTTCAACGTCTATGAATCCCTCCGTCGCAAAATCATCGACGATGCGTATAAATCTGCCTCTGAAAACTGGTCCCATAACAAAGACAGTAGCCGTTTTGCGAACAAGGTCGAGGAATGGCTCACACCTTGGAATTTGATGCGGGAGAAAAAGAAGAATGCGACAGCGTGGATGTTTGATGCCATGACTGTGGATATTCCGGTCCCGAGAAGGTCGTTTCGGTCTACAGCCCAATGATCCGATGATAGTTATCGCGAGGAAAAGGGTGAAGGAATTAGTATGGGACCCTCCGTTTTAATAAGTATTGTTTTTGCATATTCCCACTCCGTTTTTTTTTTTCATTTTTGTTGGGATCTGTTATTTTTGCATATAGGCGATGACAGTTGGTCAGGGATACGTCGTTCGTTGCATGGGCTTAGCCTCTGATAAAATGGGTGGCTTTTATGGATTTCACCAGCCACTTATCCTTCTCACTACTTGACATGATAATGTACTATAGATTTGACTTTTCCAGTACCAACCCCCCTTTTTTTATTTTATTTTAGAAGGTTATAGTTAGGAGTGCTTAAGTGGGTTTACTTTGCCCCTCTTACGATTTGTTCTGTGCACTTCTAAATTCATGTGTTCATACTTGATTGCCAGATTTATGTTCTGTTAGGTAAATAAGATTCGAACACCTATCACCAATCCAGAAACTTAGGCTTTACAGTTGTTTGGGAGTTTTGATATTTCACAAGCTGTAGCCCAGAGACGACGAGGAGGTTGATGATATAATTTACATTTCGTTCTAAGAAAAGAAAAAGAAAAAGAAAAAAGAAAGAAAAAGAGAAAAAAGAGAAAAAAGAGCAGCGATGGCCCCAGGCTTCCCTCCAGTGATTTGACCTAACCATAAAAATCTTAACATAAAACCACCGTCCGTTGAGGAAAGATATCAAAAGAATAGCATGCCAGTATCCTTCAGACAACTCAATATCATTCAAAACAATTCAGCACTATTAATTGATATTATGGGGTTGGGAGGAAATTGCTGAAATCTTAATCCATTGAATATCCTCCATGTACATACATATATAAACATGGAGCTATATATCCATGACTGAGGTATTCCACAAGCAGGAGAGAACCCGCACGTTATGATCACTTTTAACGGGCATCCCCGAGTAAGACGAAAGACAAAAGTGTCAAGGGGGAAAGCAAACGATACAGCTGTTTGTAAGCAATGATGCTTGGGGGAGTATAGATGCGTTCAGAAACACGACTACCGAAAAAAGCGAGAAATATATTTTCCTTCTCAACTTCACAGCGCAAATATTGAACAAGAACGGGAAAGTAGTTTCCATTCCTGGCTCCTGATAAAGCATTATGCGAATTGACATATCTCATTGACAGGTCCTGGTTATTGGAACGTCAAACTCATCCGTCCAAAGCAACGTATGTGCTGCCAGGTCTGATGTACGGCAAATGCTGCTCTCGAGAAGTCACCTATCCAAAGGACTCACTTTCGAATAAGCAAGTCAGGACATCGAGATCCTGCGACTAGCGATTCTCTGGCCTAGAATTGGCATTGATATATCACCACGGTTTAGCAAGGACACTAAACTAATATATTTCATCTGCCGAGCCACGCCATTCCCCTTGACAAAGCGGTGCTCCCAAATAATGCAGGATAGACACTGTCAGGATTTCAACTGCAAGGAAAGTTTGAAGGCCAACAAAAAAAGGGGGGATGAAGAAACTAGATCTCCAACTGGGATTATGAAGAACTAGTCCTCCATGACCTATCTGGCAACAGGTATACCTAGAAGGTGTCCTCCTGGTATCCATTGAAAGACTAGTGCGGGCTGGTGTTCTTGAAGGTCGAGATGGGAAGAAAAGAGAGGAAGAGGCAGCGAAAAAAAAAAAAAAAAAAAAAAAGCAAAGCTGAGAAGAAAGGGGAAGCAAGCAAATGAACAATGATAGACCTTTCTGCGACATTCTATTCTTGTCCCGGGATCTGGGGAGGACTTGATTCTCCTGGAGATTATCGACAATGCATGCTCTGCAAGGATGCATTCATTACCATTCAGCTTGTCTATCCCGGGGTGTTTGCCGCTTTTGCCTTAACTTTCCCGAAGCATTGGAGGTTGGATCAGTGAACAAGGATTAGGCATCATCCGCGGGAAGTGGTTCTGGGAGATGATTGTATGTATGCATGAAACCCGACGGTTTGAGAGAAAAATCCGGAGTGGAGAAAAACACAGATCATCACTCGCTCCCCTCAGCCGTTGCATCCCCTGTCTAGTGCCACAGCCTTGTTTCTATTTTGTTCTTCGTTCCTTCGAGACTCGACATTTACCAAACCCTTGTTCTCAAGGGGTTTGTGGGTTATTTGCGCTTTTCCCAATGCTTCCGGCCAATGGGAATTTTCCGAAACAGAAAAAGAAAATTGAGTCATGATTCTGGAAATATAGTGGAAGTTCGCAAGAGCAAAATCATTCGTCCCAGCATCTCGTCAGCACCACTCTAAGCGAAAAAAATAAAGAAAGAAAGAAATAAAGAAATATAATAAAATAATATAATATAATATATAATAAAATCGTCGGCACCCAAGCACGTAGCTAACGTTAACTGAAACTAGGAGATCAACACGGCAAAGGTCCCAAGACCATGGTACAGAACAGGCTTTTTTTCTGGACTGGTCGGTACCGAAATTCTCGATGGAACAACAAGGAAGAAGTCTGGTTTGAAATCAAACCGCCGATACCTTCTCAGTTCGTTAGCCTTGCAAGATGACTGGTAAACAGGAGATGGAACACCGAAAAACTGATTATGAATCATGATGCGTTCGTTGGGTTCGGCTTGGTATCTCCACTACGGAATAGGTGCCTGGGCTTTTTCCCCACATGCATTGAAAAGAGAGGGAGATCGGTGCACTCGAATCCTCCTTGGGTTCAACAAGACAAAGAAAAAGAAAGGAAAAACAGCAAAAAAAAAAAGAAAAAGAAAAAAGAAAAAAGAAAAAAAAAAAAAAAAATATGACCCAGCAAATGCCGGTTCCGATGACCTTCTCTTTTGCCGAGAATCCTTTTTACTAAAAAACGAAGCGGGACCCCTCATGCATGAATGCATGAATGCATGCTGTTATGCGTCACCAAGACAAACATGAAGACGAGGAGCTGCTTCAGGTTACCAAGGGTTTCATTCTTGTGGTTCAGGCGGTCGATACTCCAAGTGTCTTCGAGCCTGAGTCTGCAATGAGCACTTCAGGCACGCAACTGGGTAAAGCTCAGATGCAGAGGATGGAAAAGGGACACAACCAACTGAAAGCAGAGGAGGAGAAGAGGGGGGGGTTCTGAAAGTTATCTATTATTCCAAGTTAGTTTGTCTCGTTAAATTGGTAGTGAGTGGTATATCTTTGAGAGTAAGGAGGGTGAGAGTAAGGAGGGTAAGGACAAGTTAGCCCGAGTTAGCCCAAGTTGAACGACGAATCGTTCTGTGGATGTTTAAACTACGTTTGACTATGATTCTGTCAGGGGATAAAAAGAAATTCAATGAACTTTGTTGATTTTTTGGAAGAAAAATTACCACCTTTTGTAGCCTTTCACTTAACACTCTCCTTACTTTAAAAATAGTTTATCAGTTAATACGAGAAAAGCTTATGAAATAAGACAGTTGAGATCGGAAATTCACCATAGTAATTGGTCCTCATCTCCTGCGTCAATGATTCATCCATTCATTCATTGTATGGTACATGGATAACTATATGGGGTGTCGTCATTGGACTTTTCTCATTCAAGGACCAGGGCGGAAGGATATGACTAATGCGAACTGAAACATCCGATGAGAGGGTTTGAACGGCTGTACTTTTCCCAAGGAACACTTTGAAAAACATACTTTCGTTGGAGCCTTTGGCACATGGATCCTCCAAGACGCATTCAAGTCCTAGTTTGTTAAGTATCTAAAGCTGGAAACCATGAACTATTCCAGTTGCAAATATCCGTCTCCAGAAATGAAAGGAAGAGTTTCTTTCCATCACAAAACACTCACACGCTCGAGTTTCACAAAATAGTTTCGCTGGTGCCGAGAGACATTCCAGGCCAGAGAGCCGGATAGCTCGAGGTAGTGCTATGGTTATGACAAGTCGCACGCCATAAAAGTTCATTCTATGTTGCAGGAATGACAGTAAATTTCCTCAGTGAGCCTATGGCTTCATCAGCTGAGCACCACTTTTAGAGAAACCGTCGCGGTCTCCCGTCAGGATCCAAAGGGAGATGAGTGCGATGGTCTTCATTCAAGGCGACATATCCATTCCATCCGATGAGGTTCTGGTGAGAGATTTTCGGAGGACACCAGCCACTGGAGGATCCAGATGAAGCACTCATTCGATTTTCGGTTAGTGTGATGTGTCCTTTGCCCAGCGATACACCAGCCGTTCAGAGACAGTTTCTTAGCTCCAGCTATCATATCCAGCTCAGTTCCACCACTTCTTTATACCCGCTGCGTCCGTGCATACATAGAATCCTATACCTGATATTCTGCTTTATGATCTAACTACCCATTGAGGACCGCGAAACCGTGTGGACCATTTGATTCCGTTTCTGATTCCCATGGCTTTGGGTTTGAGGATATCAAAGAACCACCCAAAGTTGCGACTCGTGACGATATACAGGAGAATGTTTTCTGGTAGCTACTGTATTCATTTCCCAAGCGGATCTCTCTTTCGAAGAGTTGCCGAGCTTTGGCCGCGAGTAGATAAAGCTTTACTTGAGTGGCTGGTTTCGTGAATGATGAATTGATGGAGTGTCCAACTCAACAAGAGTATTTTGAGTTCGAACCTAGTTATGCCAGTGTCAGACGCCGAAATAGTCTGGGACAAAGATTGGAATAATATCCACTTTCTGGCCCCAAATCGTTGGGGGTTGCTTGGGTCGTTCACTCCTGCGGTAACTTTTAAGTTGCGGCATTAGGGGTGGAGACGGGAACCAGATTGCACGTTCACCTCCCCGTGTAAATCAGATGTTTACAGAGAGGTTGCAGGAATTATATGGTAGATGAGAGCTGCATGTGATATATACTTTCACCAAGATTTCTTCTTCTTGTTGGACATGAGAAATGTGGAATCCATCCATCCATCCATGGATGGCGTCTGTTTTCACTGTGAGCATATATTTTTCTGCTCAATCGGTTCGTTCCTGACTAAGAAATGCCTCTAGTGTAAGGATATGAGGCCGATTCTCATTTTCTCATTGAATTTTCTTCCATTCGTTTCGTTTAAATGGATTCGATTCATTTCATCGGTCAATAGGGCGAAAGATGATTGGCACTTCCGGAGCAACGACAATTGGGAACAGGGAAACCCGTTTGCATTACTTTGCGCCCTAGATTGTCAAAAGAAAGGTAACGCGAACCGACGTCTCAACAGTCGGGAAAGGCTCATGATTCGTCCTCCGCACACTTTCTTCGTGCATACTATACATATACATATTGAGGCAATGCTGTGAACAAGATGTGTGCTGCTGCTGCATTCCAAGTATATGGAGCAGCGTGTTCTCACTTCCTTCATTCCAAACAAGGGAGTAATTTTCGGGTATTTTTTTTGGTACTTGGCCAAGTATTTGGATCCAGAGCTGTCTCCAGAATACCCCGTAACGTATTGTTATCCGTGTATGAATACGTCAACTTAATACCCCATTGAGTGGTTGATACATTCTTAATACCGCCAACAACGGCGTCTGATAGGGCAAGTCCAGCCAAGAGAGCCCCAAAAAAACAACGGCGGTATCTTATTCTGTTCCGCCTCTTTCTTGACTGCGTTGAACAGTTACACTTTGTGGCTTGAGATGACTTGGCTCATAATGAAAATGTTCAGCGGCTGGCCAGGGGGTTTGGCCGGCCCGCACAGGTGAGTTCTGAGAAGAACTGGCATAATTTTGCTCATGAGCTGCACATTTCAAGGATCTGTTTTTATGCTTCCTGGTTAACTGGCAAAAGTAGGCTGATGAACTGCAGTAGTAAGATCACAAGCAGGAGCAGTATTAAAGTGTGGATCACTCCCCGCAGCGTATTTTGCTCAGGCTGAGCATATCTCAGGCAACCTGCAACAGCCAAGTGCTAGGTAAAACGGCTCATAGTCTAGAGACCAAGAGTCAGGAACAAGCACTCCAGAAGGGATTTTATTCACCAACCAAAAAGGGCCAATGCTGGACCTTTTGCGTAGCCTGCCTTTCCCAACACCAGATATGCTTGGGCGAAGAGGAAACATATCCTGGGAAATCTTAAGTGTTGAAAAATACGACCGGACGACAAAGAAATCGCGAGAGTGGGAATGCCAGTTACAAGCCAAATGGCCGAATCAACGACTGCACCAGCACGAGACGGGCCCTCCAGGAGCCCTAACGTTCAAGGCGTGCTAGGTAGCCCCCTTATGCCGGACGGAGAGCAAGCCAAGTGCTGAACCTACCTACCTAGATAGAGGGTGATTTTGCCTGCCCGTTCTGGAGCACGAGCGAGAGGAGGCAGACATGACATGTCGAGTGACAGAATGTTACAACTCTTACTTTAGGTTTTTAACTGCTTCTCTTTCTGGAGCAGGCAGTGTTGAGGAGTGGTGTTGCTTCTAAGTGTTTGTAAAAATAAGCATGCTGGGCTAGAGGACAGCTCCCTGCACAATGTATCGACCCGCTTGGGGGACTTGTTTGAGGTCGATTGGTCAAGGCTGCTGCTACGAACGATACCGCCCAGCAGTGGATGCAAATCCACAGATACATAGATACAGATACCAGGAGTCCCAAATACGCAGAGGCAAGCCGGGGCCCCTGCTCGAAAGTGGAGCCTGGATTGGGTCCCCGCGCTGTCAGTGGTGCCTTGGGGACAGAGCCCAGCGCCGTGCAGCGAGCAGTAGAGACTTGCAGAGTGCAACAGAAAAACGGGGAGGAGGTATTGAAATAATAATATGATACCGCTATCCCTTCCCTTTCCTTCCAGCGTCTCCACTCGCCTCTTTTCTCCTCTTTCTCGTTTCCTCATCTCCTGGCCCAATTTTCGCTTCTAATCTTGCTCTCTCACTTCGACTTCGTCAACCTCACCTCCTTCATCACCCCCACGACCAACCTGGACATCCAGCTCGTCCTGGAGTTGGAGTCGCTCCACCCTCGCATCACCACTGTGAGGACTGCGTCATAACAGCTCCTCCGTGCTGTTAAGCCGGCGATGATTGGGTCTGCATAACCCTACCAGCCCGCTAAATTTTGAGAATGTCCGATTATTAGCATCTCCCTCAACTCATCACGCAAATATCAAGATATCTGGGTAAACTAAGTGACACCAATCTACTCGAATCTACTTGACAAGGAATATCCTTGAGGCGTATTGATCATCCGTTTTAATCGTTTCTGTTCATACGCCCTGACCAACGGTTAGTCGCCACGCAAGCCCATCGACTTCTGTGTTTTTATTATCCGCCTATTCGCATTTGATTCTGCCAGAAAATCTATAACCGCTGCGGGTAATCAATCCCACCGAATCAAATTTGGAGTTCCATTCGTTTCCGTTTGGACTGGTTTCCGTGTTGGGCTGGGTGTAATAGATACCGACGTCGTTGACCAAAAATCTCTAAGGCTTTAAGCTTATGCAATATATCTTCAAACACAATTCGGAGTCCGTTCGCTTGGATGCTCCAATAATCCCTTTCTGCTGCTGCAACGATGACTGATCCGGGGAATCCCGCGAAAAGGGGCGTCGAAAAGGATGATGGTCTTGGAAAGTATATGAAGAGAGTGAAGACCGTGCTCAAGGGCCGTAACAGAGCATCCGTCTCGAGTATGACCGATATCTTCGGTGAATCCAGCAAGTCTGGAGCAAAAGCTGCAGCTACGTCGTCCAGGTAAGCTCCATTACCATTTTCAACAAAGAGAAGAGGCTTGATATTGGCCTGGTGATGTTGATTTTTGTGCTCTCTGTGCCTCTTAGCAGTAAGCCAGCAGCAACCACTGTGTTGAAGAGTACGACTGCGGAAGCTGTTCACGTTCACCTATGGAGCACCCTTCAGCAAGAGAAAGCTCGTGCCTTGTTCGCTAAATATGGCTTGACCTTGGATCCTAGCGAATGGATGTCCAAACCCGTCGACATATGTGTGCAGAGGGTTGAAAAACCTGTCCGCATGCGAGTTCGTCGCAACTGCCACCGATGCCTTACAACTTTCGGTGCTAATAGAGTCTGCATTGGCTGCCAGCACGTACGATGCACGAAGTGCTTCCGTTATCCACCTGCGAAGGCCAAGGAGGACGAACGGGAGAAGGAGAAGGCCAAGTCTGCTGCCGCTGCTGCGGCAGCAGCGGAAGCTTCCAAAAAGATTGTCTTAACGATCCCATCGCGTACTGGTGGCCAGGATCTTGTCCACAAGCCGATCAGACAACGCATTCGCAGGACCTGTCACTGTTGCGAAACGTTGTTCATTGGCGAGGCTACGGAGTGTGAGAAATGCAAGCACATTCGCTGCAAGAAATGTCCTCGAGATCCGTAAGTCTTCGTGATATGTTGTGCAACCGGTGGAGGCTTAAAGTCACTAACTTGGTATTTCTAGACCCAAGCTTCACAAGTATCCTGACGGTTATCCTGGAGATGCAGAACCCCCTGTTGTACCTCTAGAACGTGTATGGCGTAAACCTAAGCGTCGAGTAAGATGGACTTGTCACAACTGCTCCAAACTATTTAAAAACGGCGACAAAATTTGTTCTCATTGCCAACATGATCGGTGCAAAGATTGTATCAGAGATCCGTAGGTTTTCACCTGTTTCTTCTCTATTTGCTTCTGGCTGTTCGTTTTTCGATCTAATGAATGAATTCTTCTGCAGACCCAAGAAAATCAAACCCGAACCAGATCCTGAAATTCTACGACGGGTCGAAGAGCGATTATCTAAAGTATTGATTTCATAGTGGTACCTGTTCCAATGGTTCCGCCTAATTTATTACTTATTTAGTCACATCTGCCACAAACATCTTTTTGGTGTCTGCTTGAGCGTCTTCTCTGCAAAGCCCGTACTTTTCTTTCTCTCTACGTACTTTTACTCTAGAGTCTTTGCTTGCACATTTTCTTCTACGACCATTTGATGATCTAACGGTACTGAGCGAATACAACCAACAAACATCATATAACCAATAATCAAGCAATCAAATCAGCTCTCACATTCTTTTCATCTTCCAGAAGCCCCTTGCATCTTCTACCTTTCCATACCCTCGACTCTTACGTCCTTATACCACAACCCATATCCTTCAATTCTTAACTTTTAAACCAAATTTCTTTCCATTCGTTCAGTGGGTTGTTTCTTCATTACCCACACTACTGCAGCTGCTGCCTTGAGCTCCCCCGTCATATTATCGATTGGGCTTCATTCCTGCTTGTATAGGGATACCAAGTGTGTTTCAAGTCAAAACCCCCTTTAGTTTATACGACGAACCCACCAACCACAACATATCTGAGAAAATTTTCAGCATATCTTCCACTCCCAAACCAGCGAATCAACACCGCGCTCTGATCTCGGCCACGATTGATATTACTTTGGAGATAGCGGCTCTATCCCTTTCTTGGAATTTTGACCCCCTCCTTCACTTTTCTCTTCTGCCCTTTTTACACATACGGTCATTTCTTGCAAGAAGGTTAAGTGATACCGTTGGAATACGTTCCCTCAATTCAAGCATATTCAGCTGCATCAATCTTTTTTCCCATCAAACTTTCATTTTCGACAAGATAAGAAGTGATAAAACGTGTCTGGAAACTATCGAGGAAATCAATTTCCTACATTTCTGAATGCCTCCAACTAATCGCTGCCTCCATAAATATCAATGTCGCAAATCAGACATAGAATCAAGTGTTTGATAAATTAGTAAACTACGCACACGGTTGAAGGGGATCTTCATCCTTTGTTGCTTCTTACACGGGGACGTGTCTGTCCAACAGCTTGGGAACGATTAGCGACCTCTGAAAACGGACGTGCTCTAACTCCTAGGTGCTAACAGGTGTAAACAGTAGTGTTCAGGTATTAAAAGGAATTTTTGTTTGCTTCGTGAGTGTCATGGTGTTTCTGAAAAGTCCGGTATATTTCCAATCCCTTTTTTCACCGGCCCCATATCAACCTTACCAGAGACACTTCATCGCTATGACAACCATATCTAACGCTGCCTAAGTAGCTGCGATAATAGTTGTTGAGATAAAATGTGGCGTGTAAAACTACAAAGCCGGAGAAAAGCAAGCCATTTGGAAACCAGGGATGACTTGCATTAGCATGATTATATTTTTATCGCTAGCATATCCACCGTAACTAAATAAACTAAAATCTTTGAGAGTCCTCCGGACTTTTCGGAGTAATTCTACTACAGCTGACCAGTGAGTGATCTTGCAAACAGCCTTTGAATGCGTAGAAGTCTCACGCTGGAATAGAGTAAGCAGAATACCGTCGGACTAGTTGGCTTAACGCCGATTTCGCTCACTTTTCTGCGGCCCATGCAACCCAATCACCGAGATGATCCGAAGTTCGATGAAACATATCGAGAACACTGCTTGGTTAACAAACTATTAACTTCAGAGATTTATCAAGACCCCCCCCCCCCCCCCCCCCATATGCTGGCTATTAATTCTGTATTCCTTTCTTGAAGTCCCGAGTTATGAATGACGCCCTCGTCATTAGTTACTCCTTTCGCAATATATATGTTACTACAGCAAAGAATAAACTGTGGTTATTCCTTTACAGCTTTTAGCTGCAGAAACGGTCTCAAGTAGTTCGTATTACTTATCAACCCGATTCCCCAGAGGCAAGGGGGTGTGCGACTAATTCATTCCCGTGGGGTTTGTCCGAGTTCTGAGAATAGAAATACATAGAAACATCTGTGAGAGTAAGAATAAAACTGGTCAGCTCCTGAGGGTGGTGTTTTGTTGACACCCACCCAGACAGGGTTTGAATGTCAGATCATCAGCAACTGAAGATTCATAGAGTGATTGGTGGTACTGTTAGGGCGGGGATAGACGGTGAGCTATTCTCTGAAGGCGGTTTTCCTCCCGCGGGTCAATCTGCTTCGGTTTTCAGAAGCATTTATTCGACATTAGACGGATTCTGGATCTTCTCAATTCCACCTCTCTATTTTTTGCGGATCTGCCTATTCTGAAGAATGAGCAGCATCTCTGTATCCTCTCCCTCCCCCTTGAGATATACACTCTAACTCCATATCTGTGGATATGTTCACCACACGAACCAAGAATCATTTCGATCTCAGGTGAATAAAGATTAGAAAGAGCGTATTTCCGAGCCTGCGTTCTTCAGAGAGAACCCGATGTTGGCATGCTTATGACTCAAAAACACATCAGGTTCTGTGCTAGATGGCTGCTGCATCTTCAGACAAGCTCAATCAATCACAGCAGACTCGGATATAGAGTCAAAGCCCGAACAAGAACAAGGCATATTCACACCATAATCCGTGAGCAGGAGATGGCTTGTTTCACAGGATATCGATTCAAAAATTTTTCTGATGGACAGAGAAGTTCGCCTTGCGTACAAGTTAACATACTGTAAACCCGTGCTGCTTTCCCTTTACAAGGGGGGCGGCGGAGCCTGCGACTCTGGAGAAAAAGCGTAAAGCCATGTTGCAGCAGGTTGCATCGCAAACTTGATTCAGAATTTTTTATGAGGAATTCAAGAAGAGAAGCGGTTCCGCTGTTTCAGCTGCACCAGCCATTCGATATTTATCGAACGCTCAGGTCTTAAGACTCGCAAGACTGATGGATACGTTAGTAGAGAGCAAACAGGAAAGCATCCGTCTTTGAATGCTCACTTAATAATAGCAAATCAATTATTACTACTATTACTATTTTAAAGGCAGCAAGGATGTGGTGTTCTAGGCTCTGGAACGACTGCTGACCTGGACAACGGCTAGTTATATCTGTCCTGTCCTGAGGCGTTGCGCTTCCTTGCAGACTCGAATCAAGCTGGATGATGATTCAGTAGCATCGGATCCAGGAGTAAACTACGTATCACGGTGAAGGGAGAGAGTCGTGGTCGAAATTTACCCATGGAAGATTCATCCCTCTCTCATCACCAGCCCTCGCTTCGCGACATAAGAAGAACCCCCATATCGAGGTAACTAGTTATTGGCAGGATGCAACTCCGTGGAATGCCTCTTGTTCCGTGATGAACTACTTCCTCAAAAGAATACTCTATTAGTGACATCTGCTATGAAGAGTTTCCCAAACCAAACCAGAACTCAATGGACGTTTAACACCTCAATTATTGATTGATCTGCAAAAAGCTTCCTTGATCTCGTTTCCCACAGATTACGGAAGCTCCACACACAAAGCCGTTGCCAAGAGCATTAGCTTGACGACTTTGCGCATATCGTGCAAAATCGTCGTAGATTGTTATCAGGGCATCGACCTTGGGATTCCTTTCAGGAATGCGGGATCTTAAGAGTCGACGGGCGGTCGAAATTACTAAAAAGTGCCTTTTTGCCTTTTCGTACTTTTTTTTTTTTTTTTCTTTTTTAAGGTATAATGGAGCTATTGGATAAATTCCGCTGCACCGGTTGCTGGTCCTTGAGGATTCTCTTTTGTTCGACCCGTCACTACTTTGTCTGGGCCCATGGAAGCGATAGCAAATCGAGCAAGGGGATCTCCAGTTTGCCGCTTATCCCCACAGTTCTGGAACAGATACGGGGTGCGCTTCGCCGATGACCAACTTCCTGGAGCAGGCCGAGGTTAAATGGGGACCGTCGCCCGGAACAATAATACTATCTTCTCATAACATACTTATGTAACTGTCATGATCAAGAGAAACAAAAATGAGCCGAAATGACAATGTTTATCTTTGACGTGATGCAGTTGGGATATGATATGGCATATGTATAATATCTCAACTTTCTCCACGATACAAGGTAACAAGACATGAGATGCGTGTTTCGTAATATTAATCCCGCATTGTCCAGAAAATGGACAGAGCAAACCAGCCAATATCACTTTTTTGATCCGACACTTTTATAATGGACTACTTTTTCTTCAGGGGTAGCTCTTAGAAAATTGCTAGAAAATTGGGCTAGCTGAACACACTTGTTAGTTGTGCTAATCGCCGACATATGTATCCGGAATTGATGGGACTACTGCAGAACGCATGGGCAGATGGCAAGACGAAAGGGAAGAAAAATGGGAAGAAAATGAGAGTTTCAAGAGCATTGACAGGCAGCGGAGCCGTCAGCTGTTCAGCAGTCTTAGCGATACAGTGCTTGTAAACAAGTCAAAGAATCGCTGCGTTTTCTTTCGCATGCTGTGTCTTGAATCGAATATCATCACCGCGTATCTTAATCCTCATTGAACAGGAGAGAAACTGAAGCCTGAGAAATCGTTCCCTTAGCACATAGGTTCAAGGGTATTTACTCATTTGATCATTTCAAGACAGGTGCAGGTATCATGCATGACCTCCATTGTTCTGCCATGGTTTATGCAATGAGAACCACTGTCAAAACAAAGTCCCGACATGAAAGGTTCGGGTAAATATCCAGAGGGTTTCCTCCCAAGTCCGTCCCAATAACCGCGTTTACCAGGACCTAGGCGGTAGTTGAATCATAATATATGAACGTGTCAATAGACTTGCGTATGCATACATACACACCGCAAGCAACAGCGGGGCGATTTTTCCGTATAGCGCCGGAAAGAGGAACATGAAATCATGCCAAATCAAACGTGGAGAAGATTGCGACGGTGGAGTCGATTTCATTCTTGCTTGACGTTTCCACCATCCATAAACTCGGTAGAATGCAGGCACGTGTAGAAAAGAACGTTCTCAAAAAATGCCAGGCATCGATATAGGCCGGGGAGGGGCATGGTAAGAAAATGGGGTGACATTTGGCCAGGACATCGCAGTCCGGATATCGCAAAAAAATAGGTAATGAATGGGATGGATTCTTTTTCACCTCTAGACACGGGCTGCAGATGAAGATGTACAACTGGCCATCAACGTGTCTGATGTTTAACCGTACTCCAGGAAATTCGAAGTGCAGCGCCCACAGCAAGTTGCTTGCAGGGCAGATACGGTCGACAACAAAGAGCATGAATCGACTGCATCTACCTCTCCGTTGGACAGGCTGACAGGTAGGACAGTATTTCGGTCGGTGGGGGGTATCTCCGGATTTTCCAAATGGCAATCGTACCAACCAGCGTAACACTTGTTTTTTAATTTTTGTTTTTTTTATTTTTATTTTTATTTTATTTTTCCCCAATGATGATTGCCTTTGCTTTTGCTCTACGCATTGACCCTTGTGATCCCACCGTTCCATCGTGGAAATGAGAACCCAGTTCTCACAAATCAGAAACCGTCAAAAAAAAAAAAAAAAAAAAAAAAACTTCCCAAAATATCAACACCCGTCGCTTGGTGAGCCAACCACACCCGTCCCACGATCTATGGAGCGTGTTCTGCATGTGTAAAATAATATCACTTATTCTTCAAATTTGGAGACTTTAAGAAACGAGGAACTTAGGCAGAAGTGAGATATCAACTGACAAGATTCGCTCTCGTGCATGAATCTGCTGCAGGCCAAGCCTCCCAAATTCTACACTGGTTCGCTGGCTCGATTTGGATTTCCCACGTCTCCGTCTTTGCAGCGACCAGCACATAAGGTGGTAGCCACACAGCAGACAACTAGAGCTCTGCATCGTGTCTGGCGGGATGCATTGTTCCCAGTAACATGGAAACTAATAGGATCATTCCGCGGCATGCAGTGATTTTTTTTCAGTTGTGGACCCTTGAGTGGCTAAAGTAAATTTAATTGCTCCTGCCCTCTGCAACTTTTTTCATATTCCTGTTGCAGTTATGCAGGTGCCGTTCAAACTCAGCAAGCTGCAGAATCCTCATGCAGCGCTATTGTTGGCGGAGTGTGTCGGCGGTATTATTGTGTTGGAGGGAGACTTGCTTTTTGCCTGAGCCGGTCAGCCTGTGCCGGAGTACTGATTCCTGAGTAGTTTGAAGGGTCAAGCAAAGGAGAGAGATAAATGGTCTTTTTAAATGGCCTTTTTGATATCCGATATAAAAGAAGAGTCTTACACCGTATTCTTAACTGCTGGGTTACCGAGAAGCCCAGCATCCCACAAGCTACAAGCTACGACCCTCGGCGGCACAAAGCAGCCGGGTACGCTTGTACGGTTACAGTACTGAAACTCTGCACGCCCGGCCCGGTTGTATCGTCGCTAACCTTCGCTTCTGGAAGATCGTGCCGAGGCAGGGTCTGTGCTCCCAGACCCAGGTTCATACAAGGAAAAACCGCGAAGAATACCGTGCAAATGTATCGACGTTTCGTATTGTCATTACGACCGGGGCAGTTGTAGCAGTTTGGTATGGCTCTATACGGTTGTAGTTACCAGAGACCGAATCTGATCGTTAGTTCAGCTGTGTATATGATGAATAAATCACATCCTCAGACTCGCTTGGAGGAGGGCCAACTGAGAGGGAATATCAAAAAGTCTCGAATGATTCAATTATTCACTCGAGGCACTTGCAAATATTTCTCTTCTATCATCTCGGGTCTATAGAGAGGCCCGTTTCACCATTTTCATCCTTCTCCCTGTCTGGCTCTCTTCACATAGATATATGCTCAACGGAGCGTTGTTTTGGATTTGAACGTACCGCACACCAGAGTCTTCAGATCGTGCTTTAGTAGATCTGAGGTGCAGGGACAGTGGTTTGAACGTCGTTTCACAGCTCTCCGCAATGACCTTTTTTTTTTTTTTTTTTTTTTTTTTTTTTTTTTTTGATTTCAACACACCGGACCAACCTGATAATGAATCTACCCAAGTTGCAATGTTCAACTTGCTCGCTCAATAGGCTGAGGTATATTCAGGGCTTTCAGACGCCCCCTCTTTCTATCATGTCGTTACGGAATCCAGCTCTTATCATTATTACTCAATGAGTTTACGTATGGTGATGCGGATCTGTCACGGATTGAATATGGGCTCTCTTCACCAACTACCAGAGACGGATTCCAAATTCGCTGTCTTCTTTTCTAGAGTTTGAAAAGGTGAGCATTCAAAGACCAGGAATGCGCAGTGGTTCTGCTGCCCAAACTGCTATCATGAATACCTTCTTGACTTACACACTCTGCTGTGCTTATTAACTGTGAATTAAGATCAGGTCAGGGGAAATTTCCAGGTTTTACAACGTTTCCTTAACAGCAGAGGTGACGATATTGACAGAATCCATGGTCAGTTGGTCCTCTGCGGCGAGGAATGTCCTTTCTTCTTTTGATGAACGGCATATGATATGTGAAATTCAAAATTTTCAAAATTTCTTTTCCTTTCTGACGTCCAGTTGATTCAAGTTGCTGCATACAGTTATTCACACTAAAGCAAAAAGGATAATATACCAAGATTCAAAATATTTCAACTTCGGCAACAAGGTACGAGAAGATCCTTTAAGCTGCATGTAGCAACGAAAGGGGAATGTGAAAGCTAACAGGAAATTAAGGCAATGCCACAGACCTTCTACGAAAACTAACCTTTCGTCCTAAGAAAGATATATATATAGATATATATGTAAGTATTTCAAAGATGGAATGGCTAGTCACATAAGGGACCTGGAAAAACAAGCGGCTTGCGCCATGCCCTCAAGTCACTCCCAAATTCCAATGACTGTTTCGAAGGGAGCCGTGGCCCTTGAATAACAGTCGCCTCACCATAGCGAGGTGGAAAAGGGAACTAAGCGTGGCAGATAAAGGCCTTCGCATGAAGGTCTGATGGATTGGGCGAAACTGAAAGACTACGGGTACGAGTTCAAAGGAGGCGTCCCACGATAAATCCTGAAGCTGCGGCGTAAATGAATGGGCAACGGAAATTCCGTGTATGTAGTGTGTAGTGGCATTGGGCTGCGAATTCTATATGATAAGCTTCAATTCCTGGCAATTAAGACGTTCGGCAAGTTTTGAATCTTCCCATGCACAGGGAATAGAAGTCGCAAAAAAAAAAAATAAAAAAAAAGAGGAGAAACAATTTTCCCAGCAGTAAAGGTATGAAGAAAACAAAAAAAAAATTACAAAAAATAAAGTGTGTTGACAAGAGCGAGACTCGAACTCACGCGGGTTTCCCCATACCGGAACAGGAAATTCTTATTTAGGAATTTCCAAGTGTTCATGTGACTTGAACGGTACGCCTTAACCACTCGGCCATCTTGCCATTTTTAACACTAGTTTCATAACTGAAATTGAATTCTAATGTAACTCCCAGCTTTGAAATTTATGTTCATATCTCAGAACCTCAGAGTCGTCGATAAGGATTCGGGCCGCTTTGCGTAGTTGAAACGTAAATTCCGCCACCCCTCCTTTATTCTTTATTCTTTATTCTTTATTATTTTTTCTTTCAAGAGGTCGCGAGTTTTCCCAGTTTTGATGAACATTAGAAAACAACACGCTGTCAGATTACGGAATGCCTAACCGGATCCAAGGATTGTGGCCGAGGAGGACGGGGCAGGATGTTGTCAAACCCCACCATTTTATCGGCTGTGGGGCGAAGGGATGTGCGTCGGGGAGCGCTTGACATATATGTATCGCGTTTTTGAAACGTTTATGAAGTATCTCCCTCCTCACCCCAGGTTTATCCCATCTCTCTCTCCAGGCCAATCTGGCAGCTTCTGAAGAGAACCGGGGTCTGCCTCCTCAGTTCAAGTGATGGGCAAGCGAAACAAACCACAGTGAGTTTCATCCAGCCCTCTGTATGAGTGCTGCTAACATAACTACCCTTTTGTAATTCCAGAGATATCAACTTAGCATCGGCTAAATAGCTGTTGAAATCATCTTAAGCAGAAGCTCTCGTTGTGCCATCTCGGTGCATTATTCAACCGCAAGGCCCACGTCTTCTGCAAGCCAGGATGGGCCAATTGAGGAGGCTGCAAATCTGAATGGACAGGTTTGGTGTAGACCCTCAGCCTGTAATAACTTGGCTGCTCAGCCGCAAGCATTATCATCATCATCAAATGACGGAAGGTTGTTTGGTGAAGAGATAAATGAACCTTGTGAAGCCCTGCAAGCGCGGAGGGCGGCCCAGATGCAACGACCAATCGTCCCACGATATGAAAAAAAAAAAAGAAAAAGAAAAAGAAAAGAAAATATCTTTGAGACACAAAAAAGCTAAATAGAGAAAAATTCTCTGGACTTTCATTGGGCATTTGAACATCTCACATATGAACTGTATCCAGAGGATGGAATCATCACGGACGCTGGGATATCGATATTATACTTTCCCCACAAAATGTGGCATCTCGGACTCTTAACGCAAAGCTACTCTTTGTGATCATTCATTTTGGGAACTCCGTCTTCTGAAACCTTCACTGTTGCGGCTCACTTCATATGTTAGTATGTTAGTGAGCTATGAACTCTATATCAAGTTTCAAAGCCCAACTGAAAACGAACGTCTAAGCCACATAACCTTGGCGATGGTTGAACGTTTGCTAGCTCCAGCAGAATAGGGGTAGAGATGGAGCTTGGCTTTGTTACAACCACCCCTCACTTCGCGCCCTTGCGGACTCCCTCTAGTGAGGATAATCATGCTTGTAGATTATGCGACATTTGGTGTAATGAAATCAACTTCTTGACCCGACCCGGAATAGTGTCCTCAATGGCTGGATCTTGCACGACCTCGACCCTGACGCCAGGCTGAATATCCTGGAAAATTCATCCCAGAGGGGGGGGGATTGTCTATAAAGAGATGTCCTACTTCCTGCTTCTCTTCCATCCGCTTCCGTCCATGTGGTTTTTACAACTACATAATTAGCGATCATACCTCGACACTCTTCCGTTAACTTTTACCTTTTATCGACATCACCTGTAGCAACAAGAAAGGCAAAGAAAACAGGAAGTATGAAATCGATATTCAGCACAATCGCCCTAATTGCCACCGCATTCGCAGAGACAATTGATGTCAAGGTCGGCGAGAACGGCCTCACCATCGAACCTAGCAACATCAACGCTCGGCAAGGAGACGATGTCGTTTTTCATTTCTTCAGCGGAAACCACGACGTCGCTTCAGGGCCCTTTGCCTCACCATGCACACCCTCGGACAATGGATTCTATTCAGGCATCATAAACGCGAATGGCAACCAGCCTGACGCTACCTTCACAGTGAGAATCAACAACACGAATCCCATCTGGTTGTACTGCACAACCAGTGGCCATTGCCAAAGCGGCATGAGCGCCGTAATCAATCCACCGTGAGTTTCTCTGTACTCTGTTTTCTCTAACCCATCCTTTACCCCTCGCTGACCTTGTGGAAAACATAGTCGAACCGGAAACACCCTCGATGCCTACAAAGCTGCCTCCAAAAACGCCAACAGCGTTCGACCACCCCAGGTCCGTGGGGGCATTTTTAGCGCGGATGGAAAGAGAAACAGTGGCGGAGCGAGTACTTCGAGCTCCAGTTCAGGAACACCCTCCAGCACTGGCGCTGGCGCTCGCACAGGCACCAGTACTGGTACTGCCACTGCCAGCGCCACCGGTGCTACCGGAACTGGCGCCGCATCTACCATCTTAACAGATAAGACGATGCTGTTTAATGCATTTGCGGCTATCGTTGCGGCCGGTGTGGGCTGGGTTGGCCTCTTGTAGATGGAGAGCTCAGAGACACGGCAGGGAATGTGAAGCTTTTGTATCAATATCAAAGTCAATCATTATCACTACTATTGTTTCCGGCGTTGTGGGTGTGTGTGTTTTTTTTTTTTTTTTTTTTTTTTCTTTTCATGGCCCTCTTCCCCCCAGTTTCACAAGACGCGGACAAATTGCATTTATATTAATTAGGTTGGGGAGCCGGATTGCGAAGAAGGCAGGACTCTGTCTTGTGGATTTTGATATCCGTCCTGTTTCTTTCAGCATTGATCTTGATCTTGTCCGTCTTGTTATATACTCGTGACTAGTTATGATATTATGGAGTCTTTTGTTCTTCGAGTGCCTGTTCTCGTCTCTCTATTGAAATGTTTTAACACACAGAAACAATATGGATAATAATAATGATAGTTGTGCATATCAAGATATGTGGTAATTATGAAGACCTTTTCCAGGCAAACCATCTTGGGATAGATAGTCATAGTGAAGATGGTGGACCGTTCTTGTTTTCAATTCCGTCATTCGCTATCCCCTTCTCTCCTGGAACGTTATGTTTCGTGAGAGTTTCACCACCACATCCATGCTGCTCTCCTTTTTGAATTCCCAGAATTATAATTCCTTTTCTATGATGTTCAAAATCAGATTTCATTCCTTCCACCTTGGGCTCTGTCTATGGTTGTATGACCCATAAAATATTACCGAGGTAGCAGTTGATAAGATTGATAGAGATAGATGCCAAAATAAATTGACAGAAGAAGACAATAACATTGTAATAGCAGTATCATCAATGGTTAAGCAGGGAACAGCGATGAAAAGAGTGGTTACATAGAAGATTGAAGCCTCCGACTCATCATCTCCGTACCCAAACTCTTGTCAAAATCGATTTTCCCATGCAACGCAACACGATGCCCCAGCGCACGGCGAATAATCCAATCCTTACTCTTAATTTCTTCCTCCGGTTCCTGCCCAGGCGCAAACGGCGGGATACAGTCACTCCCCTCTAGTCGCTTCAAAATGACATCATCCTCCGGACGTGAAAAGTACACCAGGCTATACCTCGTAGTTTCAGCCTGAGCCCCGGGAGGAGATACTACTCTGTGGATATTAGAGCGTAAAAGTCCGTTCGTGAACTTCACCATGGCATCGCCTAGATTTATGATTGCATGGCCTGGCAAGGGGCGCACGTAACACCAGTCCGCGTCCTGTCCCGGTGGTAGGATTTGAAGGCCACCAACGCGGTTGAAGAGAACGGTTACGCTGCCGAAGTCCGTGTGCTGGCCTAGCGCCGTGCGTCTATCGCCTGGCGGCTGGGGTGGCGCTTTGATCATTCGTACCTGGTCGCCACTAACACCGTGAAGTCGATGAAGGTTTGCTAGAGTTAATGGTGGGAGGTGAAGTTGTTCGTTCAGGAGGTTAAGAACCATTGTAACGATGCTGTGGGCATTGGCTATGAATGACTTGAAATGGTGTCGAGACTTATTCAGGATGTCAGGAGCTGGTAAGGGGTCAGAAATTCCAAAGATATCGTCCTTGGAAACCTGCGTTGTGCTTGGTTAGCTTCTGTTTCATTGAGCTGCACATGTAAATTCAAATTCAAAACACTAAGAGGGTTTGTTTTTGTGCAGACTTAGGTAACTTCTTTCATTTGGAAAGGATGAATGATACATTATAGAATTCATTCCTGTCAGCATTCCCCTGCTTGTCGACGATTGCCGCACCCTTCTCCTTATATCCAAAATATGAATTTTGTTTGCTAAAATCATACCGGCGTTTTTCGTCGAGATCTAACTCAAATAGCTGCTCCCCAATTCCGAAGAGTTCGTCAGCCTCAGCAAGAATAGGGCTGCCACGCAGGTCCAAATAGAAAAACCCTAGTTCCTTGCATGCGCTGAAGAAACGTTGCACCTCTGCCTCATCATGGTTTACGAGCTTTTCCAGTGAGAGACGCAGAAGCGGGGCACAGGGTACGTCATCCGCGAATAGCGGGATTCCGGCAAAATTCTGGTCATAAGACATGTTTCTTTGTTCATGGGATGTTTACATAAATTTGTGCATAAGCAATGATGGCTGGAAACCAAGAGTGATTCCCCGTAGACAATAGGGGTTTGACAATGGGCATCTATATAAATATTTTAGGTTCAAGGGAGAAGAATGAGTCCCGTTGGATTTATTGTCCCGATCAGCAAGGCGGGTAAGAAATGACATACCGAGGTCCCGTTTCTCTGCCCCGTAATGACCTTAGGCTTCGTTAACTTCAGCTAAATACCAGGGATCTCCAGATGTGGGGAGCTCCAACCTCCATGAAGTGCGGAGTTGATATTGCCGTCAATTGAGGAGGAATCACACGCCATTTAAGGAGCTGCCAGCATGCCTGCGCAGAACTTCCTTAGTAGTAGCATGCAGGATACTGCATTGGACTGGTGATATTCGTACATACCACCAGGTTTCCATAGCTGCGTGCTGTGAGACTCCTGAATTTAAAGAATGCCGGTGGGAGGTTGGCTCGGTTGTTCACCCCGCTTAGTCATCGACGGCTCTTCCAATCCATGAATCTAGAAATATTTCTGATTCCGCGGAACCGCCGAGATTAGATCAAAATGGCATGACTGTTGCTCCACGACAACAATGGCAGATTTCGCCTCCAATACACGAGTCCACATCGCGGAACAGCTAATTTCGCGTGCGCACTCTCCCGACACAGCATGCGATCTCTTTACGGAGAGGGTAAAGCAGAAACCTCTCTTCCTCCGTCCAACATCGCCAACACCCGCAGACAACCGCTCTCGTCGTCGACTCCACCGTTTGCGGAAGAAGGAATATTTCCTGCGGAAACAAAAGCCCAAGCCATTATCTGCTCGAGAAAAGCGGATTACTGGCATCTATGATCTACCGAAGGAGGAGATCAAATATGACGTATTTAAGGGTCTCCATAAAATGTGGATTGAATATATGCAGGATGTGCTGGACTTGAAACGGGACAAATCCCAAGTCTTTATTAATCCCCTAGTGCACGGGAGCCAGCTGTCCAGCGCGGATTTCCATGGGGCTGAACTTGAGGTCGTACGGAGTCGCTGCGTCAGTCGTGTTGGTGTGAAGGGAATAGTTGTCAGGGACTCGAAGTTTACCTTCGTTGTAGTTACGGAGAAAGATGAAGCCAAGAGTAAGTTCCTGTGTATGGGTATAATTCTTATTCGTTGTATATTTCATGATATTCTAGCTGATGTGTTTCTCAGCAATTCCTAAGGAGCATACGATCTTCCGGTTCCAAATTCCTCTGCCTGCCTGTGATGGCGAGGATGTGAAAGGAGAACACAAAAATCTCACCTTCGAACTTCACGGCAGTCAGTTCGAGAATCGACCCGTTGATAGAGCCAACAAAAAATTCAAGTGGAAGAATCTGGATTATCTTTGAATGGTGCAAAATATCCTGCGCCTCTCCTCGGAGAATACTCTATCTGTCTCCTATTGTCGCCCCGTCTAGCCTCCTAGGATATTTGCGGTAACACACACTCAGACGAACCGGCTCATTTTGTTTCATCTGAAAATGGAACTGATTCCACTAAAGTCCTAGCTAATGGTGCGATATGTGTGTGATCCATGGCATGGACAACGACGAACTTCTTACAGCCACAGATCCATTCATATGGGTAATCCTGTCTCTCTATTAATCACTTTTTGGAACCCATCACCCAATATTCACCTCGTCTACCTCCCCACGCTGGAAACGAGAATGTGTACTCTCGCATGAATCGTAGGATGGTGCTGCATCCTTCGGAAATTCATGTTTATATTTATTGAATAATCCTTCGTTCCTGACTATAGAGTTATCCGCAAAGAGCAAGCGTATGACATTCACACCTTTAAATTTGATTCTATGTTCGAATCACGATTCTACCGGGCGGAAAGCAGACGTTCTCGTCAAGCGCCAATCCATTTGCATTGTGGCGTGTCATTTCTGCGGCTACGACCAAACTGTCAGCGGGGTCTTCCCTCCCTATCAGGACTTCCGCAGCATAATCGAGTAATACCATGGTTGGGGCGGGGAGTTTCTGTACTAAAGCGTCGATGTTCTTCCTACCTCGTGAAGGAACCTGGCTGGAGGGCCACAGTGGGAGAATGGATGACGGAATGAATTGCGGCATTGTTGAGCGCTTCGTATATCTACATGGGATAGTGAAAAGGAAAAGTGTGCATGTATGCTGTTAAAGAGGAATTTATACCCACAGGGGAGACTAATATATGTACCCTGGGTTTCTGAACACGACCCCTAACCACCCCATAACTTAAGGATACTAACCAACCTCACGCCCTTTAAAAGGATTCCGGAGAGACAGATCAATCCTGTCATGCAATGAGAAGTAGCTCATGGGTGAAAACTCCATTTGAAGTGATTATATGAAGAGCGCTGATATTGCGGAAGAGGTGGTGCTCTGAGAAGAATCTAGAAAAGGATATGCTCTTAGTCTTCTGGTCAGGTTGAACATGGGACCATCACTGGGAAAGAATATGGCTCATGTGAGGTTTACATAGCTTCAACATACGCTGAATATTATGAGGCATCTGCCCTCGGATTGGGTGCAGTTGGATCAAGACAGAGAATCATTGCCAGTTTGCGAGGGTTATATAATCGAGTATTGTAAACACGGGCCATGGAAAACACAAGGAGTGAGGTAGGGCAGCAAAGAACATACAACTACATTTGGTTCATTATATTAATCCTGTGCGGAATGAAAAACTGGTATTCTTTGCATTCAACGGGTACATTTCCTACTAGTCGAGTCCAACATGTCAACGACAATCGCTCCATAAATTCTAGCCACTAGAAATAACTACATGTATGTTGATAGATCTTAGTGAGCCATTCTCACCAGGCAGGAAATGTTTGCGGGACGCGAGCAACGGTGGCATCTTTTATAAGTCACTCGATGCAGTCATCAACTCCTTAAGGGTAAAGCCGGCTAACAGCATGATATGACTATCTTGCTGACAATCAACGACCTTAATACCGCATCCTATAATGGAGGTATGTTGCTAATGAAGCAATGTTTACCTCAAGGGAGGGTGTCAAAGCTTTTGCTGAGCTTCGAATGGAGGGCCAAGTTTCTATAGCGGACAGTACAGTACAATCCACCTAATAGTATAGAACCATGACATATCCAGACACGTCTAACATGCCCTTAGAAATTGATATCTCTATCAGCTGTTGGAGATGACCTAATCAGAAAATGATCATGAGTGGTCAAGTGATAGAACATACTAAGCAGCTCACGTTTCACATGCCCGCCCATTCAAAGCTGAAAGTCCTCACGTTATCAGGAGAAGTCTTCACACGTGAGCCATCCGAGGGTTCCGCACCTCCGATGAGGAAACCTTTCTTGACGCCAGTCCCCAGTCGGCCACCAGCGACTAGATTCATGAGGTCGAATTCTTCATCCCAATCTGCAGAAACAACTAAGAAGTGGGAATGAAAACGTAACGGGTCTCCGGGATAGGCAAGGTATTGGCATCCGAAGCGGAGGCCAGGAGAGAGGAAGTATCCTTCCGAGTGTAAGTGTTTAAAAAGAGGGTAAGATGGTGGTACATCTGGCAAAGTGGGGAACGAGGAAGGCGTGGTTGTTGGGAATAAACCGTTCGATGTTGCCGGGGTTATTCCGAAAGCGGCATGCACAGCAATAGATGGCCTGGAGGATGCGAGGGCTGAGTGAAGAGCTGGTTCACCGTTGTCGAAGAGTAGTTCCTCGGGTTCTTCTTGATTGGAACTTTGAGATTGAGAAGGTGACTGGCTCAGGTCCTGCGGTGACCCTGTTTGTTTAACCGTTTGTTTCTTTTTTAATTGTTTGAGAGCCTCCTCTCTCTTTTGTTCTTTACGACCAGCTTGGACTAGAGCGGCTTGACGACCTTCTTGCTCGAGGAACTGCAGGTAACGACGTCGATCCTGATCGGATATGTTTTGCATGCCATTCTCATGCACTTTGATATCATCAACAATATAGGCCACGCCTTTCTCTATAAGCAGCCTTGCCTCCTCGGGCATGAGTTCCAGGGGAAGGCCAAGGAACACATTCTGCTGCGGGATTTGGGGTAGGGTTCCTATCAAGACGCCACATATATGATATTCCCGGCGTAGATAGGTCGCCGCATCAGCTGAGAACAAAAAATAATGTCCAGATACCAAAGAGATAGGAACAGGGAGATCTGGGATGCTCCCCATGATGGCTAAGTCGGCATTGATGAGGAGCGTTAGGGGATAATTTTGGCCAGTATTTGGTTCAACTGAAAGGTAGAGGTTAGCTATCTTCAATTAACATCATGAATTAATTGAAAAACAATATCAATGTGTCTAATGAATCATAAGAAAATTTACGTTTCTCGTCACTGGTAACCATATTTAAATTGTGGTTCTCAGGGGATTGACAGATTTGTAGTGAATTAATCATCTAAAAAGAAGATTTTGAAGGAAAATGCTCTCGCTTACCGACTACGCATCATCATCATCACCATCACCATGACAGCGAGGAGTTCAACACCCTCAGCAGTAGGATTTATCTGACGTTGGTTGAGTGTTGTGTGTGAATTCTGGAAGAGACAAGAACTTCCCGCTTTAATATTTTCCCGGATGACTGGTCACGTGGCTGAGGTTGGGGTGCTTGAGCTGAACTTCGGAGCTTGTCTTCACATTCGAGACCACTATGAACGTCGCATCATCACATCCCATCTCATCAATGGATGAACTGTTCAGTAATTTATATACAGTGTAAGTGCAGTTATCTCTAATGAACGTCATTTGGCTCCTCAGCCTCTTCTTTGGGCCGATTCTTCTTCTTATCGGTAAGTGTGGCCCAGGTTTCTCAACCGTCTCCAATTCCCGGCCCCGCGCTTTCTCGGATATAACTAACTTATGCGATAGTTTTTCTGGCGTTATCGTCCTGTCTCGGGGACGGTTTTCGTGCCCGCCTTGCCGGCTTTCCTGCTAACACTAGGGAGGGCGCCTACGGTCGTAGTTATTTACGAACAATGACAAATAGCGGCTCCGCCATGTCCGAGCATGTTGAGCTTGAGGATATGATCAGAGATCAGGTGGATTATTATGACAGCGATGATCCGAGATAAGATATCAGTTACAGCTTCGGTATCCACGGGGATGATTAAGATATTAGAATTCGAGGTCCTTTTTGCTTGTGCCACTTGAAGCATTCCCTTGTTGCGCATCGGTATCTCCCTCTACTGGGGGCAAGTTGAAAAGTTTGATTGTGAACTTTCTCCTGCTCAGAGCGAACGCCCAATCATCGCCTAAGCTACTGTCACCACCTCCGCCTCTTTCATGCAGGACCGGGAGCCGGTGGATTTTGAGCATACCCTGTGGTGGTTCCTCTTGTGCCGTGGCCGCCCCCGATGTTGCAGATGGGCTGGTATCTGATAGATGCGGGAAGGGAGCCAGCTCGATAACACCATCGCTCAACAGTTCAATCCATCGAGTGAGTCCCGAAGTTCGAGGATACAGAGACAGTGGGAGGGTGATCATCGCGGTTATGCGATTGGAGTTTGTGGACAAAATGGCGCGCAACGAGTGCAAAAACTGTAACAAGTGTTCGGGTTGACTGGCATGTGGGGGATATATGGCGGGTGAGAGTAAGGATGGAATGATGATTCGGTGGACGACATTTGGCTGTGAAGTGGATATTGCGGTGGAGAGTCGATGGAGAGCTGATGTATATGGGGAAGCATCAGGTGCGGAGGTTGATAGAGGGACATAATTTATAGAAGCCAAGGAGGGATGGGTAAGGCGCTTCGTTAAATCAAAGGTGTGACAGAACACTTGCGGCGTCGGAGCGGATTCTGATGAATCTGAATTCTTTTCTGCTGTTGGAGCGGGTACTGTTGAATTATTAGCTTTCATTCAGTTTTTCAGAGACCTAGACGAGGCATCCATAGTGTCGTCGCCTTTTAGAGGATTATTCAAGATGGATGCTCTATGCTTGACCAGCTCACCTCTCGATCGTGCAATGCCTGTACCAAACTCTCCCAATCGCTCATATCTCCAAGCTATTTTCATTTTCTCCCCTGTTCCTTTACTAGATTTTTTGTCATCTGCAGCTTCCGCCGCCCCAACTAGGCCGGGAAGAGCCCTCCCCCACTGCTCCCCCACTCCGATAACGTGGATCTGGTGCTCTTGAACAACACCCTCCGCAGCATAATATCTGAGCAAAGCGCCCGCGTAATCAGTTGTGCCTCTTTCTTCAATCAGGAGTGAATTCCCTAACACGAATCCAGCATGCCCGGCTAACAAATTATCCAAAGTCTGTGTTCCCGTCGACGTTGTCTGCCGTCCATCAACAGGTGAGGGGCGCAGACCCAGGATAGGTTTTGCGGGCGGCTGTGGGGGTTGCGGAGGATGCGGAGGTTGTGAAGGTTGCGAAATGGGTTGGTTGGAAGCAATTCCGCGAGGTGAACCGGGAGATAGCCCTATATTCCGTTTTCGAAATGACATAGTTGCTGCAACAGGAGAGGATTTTTTTATGTTAGCAAGTTAGGTATTTAGCCAGAATCAACAGAGATATGAAAACACCGACGTGAAGCTTCGATTAGTCATGAACGGCCCAATCAAACCACGAGAAAGTTATTATGCTCCCTAGACTTTATAACTTTTTCACAGTAAACATCATCGCAAGGGTTTCCAGATTAGCCCACACTAATATAATCCTACAATTTAAGATACCCTCAAAAACTGCCAAGCGGGAAAGGATTTTACAGTGCAATTGAAAACCGCAGTCTCACCCCGAATCCCCAGCCCTCACAAAGCTCTTCCTCCCCTCACTCTCCTCGGCTTCACCGCAACAATGTCAGATCCCGTCCTTTTCGAAGACACATTTACCGTCACTGCGATCAATGATCAAAAATACGACCGCGTAGCCCGCATCAGCTGCACGTCCTCCGACAACCTGACCATTTTCACCCTCGATGTGAACACAGAGCTCTATCCAGTGGCGACGGGAGAGACATTGTCCCTCGCGCTTGCGTCGACACTTGCTCTTGACGGTAAAGATGATAGCGCGGGCGGTAAGGGTGCTTGGAGGGATGTTAGTATGGGGGAGCAAACCCTAGCGAACGATTATGACTATGTATGTCATGGGAAGGTTTATCGGTTTGAAGAAGGGAACACTGTGGAGAATATGTGAGTGGAGATCGTTCGACACCTTTTTGGCTTATTGCATTTCTCTCTATATGTATCCTGGGTTTAGAACTGACGTAATTCTTCCTTTAAAATTTATATGTAGGTCTGTTTTTGTGTCGTTTGGAGGACTTTTGCTCTACCTAGAAGGCCCTTATAAGAAGCTCAGTCCTCTTCGGATCGACTACATCTACCTTTTAATGAAAAAATAGTGGATATATATTTACGTATGCCTTTTCAGGAAAACATTGTTGAACTTCATGCTCTCCAGATATATTCTCAAAGAACGTCTAGGACTACGAACGGGGCAATAATGGAAGAACTGAAATTGTGATGCGGAACAGTCAGGATGTTATATTTGGGCATTTAGCGTGGGCGTTTCTCTTGTCCTAGTGGTCGTAATTTCCAAACAGTATTCTAACCGGCGCACGAAACCAAACGAGACAAATGAGGTATTTAACGGGAAAGGGAACGGGAAAGGGAAAGGGAAAAAGGAATGCTCTTTTAGAAAAGCGGGAATCCAAGACGTCGGTGTATTCTCGCGGATATCTCAATGTAATCCTTTTCTTCCTCCGGCGTTATCTTCCCGTGTCTCATGAGGAAATCGATCATGACAACCGCACAATTCGGTTTCAACTTCCCCGCTTCCAGCGCCTCAATCACCTCAGGAATCGACATTAAGAAGAACTCCCCCACCTCCCCGTCCTTTGGTTGAAGGATAATATCCGGCTCAAGCTTGAGATCGTAGATATACTCGCACTCGGGCTGCACAACACCAGTTTCGCCACCAGCGTTTTTGTCACGGATGTAGATGTACGTAAGACAGCCGCACGCAATCGCTTTCTCTGCCACCTCTCTCTCCAGGGATGCTTCCTCCATTGCTTCCCGCAACATGCACTCGAACGGAGTTTCCCCTGTGGTGATACCACCCGCCACGCTGTTGTCCATCATCCCCGGAAAAGTCGATTTAGTCTCTGACCGCACGGGAACCCATATCATAATCTGTCCATCTTTCACTGTGTAGGCCGTCATGTGAATGCCGAAGGTGAGGATTCCAAAGAGACAAGCTGCAGAGCGCTCCATACTGGCAAGCAGATCAGTCGTCCCCGGAACGTAGATGGGGTAGAGCTCATCGCGCCAGCCCTTTAAGACTTCAAATGCGCTTGCTGCACGAGCGGCATGAAGAGTTGCTTGTATCAAGTCGGTCCGCTCCTGCACTGACGCATCTTCATCCGAGAGAAGGGTCAGTGTGCGGGCGTCGTGGTCAACTTCCCACGATTCTTGCGACCAGTCCCACTTTTTCACCACATCAGTCTTCATGTATCCCAAAACTTCAACGCAGCCGTTGATTTTAAATGCATAGAAATGGGACATGTAATCCTCGAAGTCTTTTGGGCCATCCTCATAATAAGGAAATCTGAAGAGGTGTGTCAGTTGATCAGATAGATCTCTTTGTTATTGCGTGTTGGAGGGAGGGGTTCAAAAAAATACCCATCGCACTCCCTGACTAAGTCGAGGTAAGACTTTTTGACTTTTGTGCCTCCCATTATGCTTTTATATTGAGGTAAGAAACAAGAATACTCCGAAGAGCAGATGTTTGCTAGGCAGGAGATTTTCAAAAGGAGAATAGGGCAATATATTTCTGTCGTGGTTGTTTGTACGATATCCGGTGATTTACTATTCAAAATATGGAGGGTGGTCCTTTTATATCCCACCGAGTTAATTGATAAGGCGCTCTCGAAGGGATTATACCCTGTCTTGGCGGCATAGCGAGCTCGTTGTGAATGACACACATATTCCTGGGCTTTGACACAGGAGATCAACGTCCAAAAATTATAAAAAATTCTACAGAAGCAACCAGATTCCTAGATCCCAGCAGCTTTTTTGCATTTGAGCCCAACGTCCAACTGATATTTACCAAGATGCTGGCTTGGAGCGATTCGAAACACCCCACTACGCCGTATTCAATTTTCCTCTGCATCCAAAGAAAATGCAAAAGCCGGGGGAGGGAGCAGGGGAGTGGTCCAGATGCATCAGCCACAGCTGTCATCTTCCTTTTGTCCAACAGCCCGCGCCAACCCGTCGTGGAGATGCGCTGTGATTTGCGAATTGCGCCTGCGCCTCAAACTCTTTAAGTCTCCCGGCGCTACCGGGCCTCGAAACGGGACCACAGTTGAATGAACGTGGTTTAAAAGCGGTCTGCCCACTCTTTCAAAACCGTGATAAGTCTACACAAGTTTACTCCGTACGAGTACTCTGCACATATCCAGTTAACTAGATAGTTAGTCACATAGTAGTTGGTTTGCTACAAGCCGGAGCTCAAGGTTTTGAAAGATGATTGTGCTTAGTCATCACATAGATGTACAGCCATTGCAGAGCTGTCTTCAACTTCACGTCCGGCAGGCAACGGCAACATGTGGGCAATTCAACCCATATAGAGGCACAAGTGAACCCTTCAGTGATAAAGCGAAGCAAGCAAGCAATCCAATAAGAAATGTTTTGTATTCCAAGCACTCTTTTGATCAGAGTTACGAAGCTAATCTCCTGAGACAGAACAACGTATCTCCTTAGTTAAAACTTCAAGCAGCTCTGTACCAGAAGAGGCAAAACAAAAACACACACAGACACACACAGACGCACACAGACACACACACTCACACACACACACACACACACTCACTCACTCACTCACTCACTCACTCACTCACACACTCACTCACTCACTCTCACTCTCACTCTCTCTCACACAAACCCACCCATACGTAGTCCACACACACAATACCGGCTGTATCTCCTTGCATTCTACCAGCGATAATGTTCTCCGTCATCCTTCCCAGCCGGCCCTGCCTCACCAACGTAGTTCCCATACAGTCCGACCCCACCACCCCCGCGACGAACTTCGCCTTCACGTTCTCCGCAGCGCCCAAGTTCTCCCACATCGTCATCTTCCTCTTGCCGGGCGTCACCTTGCCCGCCAACACAGCAGCAGCTGTCTACATCCAATTCCCACCCGACCTCCTCCTCAACCGGAACAGCGGCCTCGAAAACCAAAACCTAGCCGCAACCGCAACCGCAACCCAACCGCAACCCCAACCTCAGCATCCCCCAACTTCAAATTCCTCGGCGCAATCGCCAACGAGAAACCCTCCGCAATCTTCAAGGTCAACTTCCCCGGCCCCCGACGGCGTACAGAGGCAGAGGAGGAAGATGACATGCTGGATGAAGGCGCCACCCGCCCCCTCGTGGATACAGATATAAACCCCAACGCAACAATCACGCTAGGAGTCTCCATCGAGCCCGCGCAGAACGTTGCGGCGATGATGGCTAATCTCCAGAACCAGCTGCAGCCCTCATTACCGTCCACGACGGATCTGGTCAGATTGTCTGGCCAGCAGGCTGCGGCGGCAAAGTTGACGCCGCCGGTCAGTACTAGGATTCTTGCGCAGCGGATAATTGGCAATGCGTTCAATTATTTGGCAAGCTTTGCGGCGTCGGATCCTAGAGCTGGGGGGGAGGAGGTGGTGCCGTTGAGAGCGTTTAGGGATTGGTGGACGAAGTTTGAGAGGAGGATTGACTCTGATCCGAGCTTTTTGGAGAAGGGGGATGGCGTGTAAGATTTCTCTTGTTTTGGTGGGTGCCTAGGAGGTGTGAAGTTCTGAACGACTGTCCAGTTTGTATAACCATGGAGAGTTTTTTTTTTTTTTTTTTTTTTTTTAATTTTACCTCCTTATATGATGAATGTGAGGTAGCGAGTGTTTTTGTTAACATCTCGACTGTACATAGTATTTAACAGGGTGTGTCATGTTCACTAGTAGTTGGCGAATGATCATTCCCCGGTTTCAGAAAAGACATATCATGAATTGAATGAAGAGTTGTAACACAATGATACCCATATCTCTCACTGTAGGATATGTTATCTAACCCCCTGGGGTATCTAGCATGCCCGCAATGAAAATAAAACAAGGGATACAAAGCATATACACCTGAACCCCAGTCCTACATGTAAAAAAGGCACATGAAACACCCGTGTGGGAAGCGGCTCAGGCATCAAAAGCCCACCGCAACCTCACTCCTCAAGCAGAAACTCCAGAAATGCTTTCCCAACTGCAACTCCATCATGCTCCTTCCCCGCAGCAGCCATCCCGCCCTCATACACCCCCGGAGGCAGCACCCCCATTTCTTTTCGTGCGTCTAGAATTTCTGCAACAATATCCTTCGTGAACTCAGGATGCCCTTGGACGGAAATAAATCGGCCCGGAAGATACATGCCCTGCACCTGGCATACAGGCGACGAGCCAAGAAGAGTAACGTTCGATGGACAGGAATGGACGATATCGCGATGCATTTGCTGGAGACGCTGTCTTTGGGTGAATATACATATGATACGGGAGATACAATAAATAGGTAGATAGAAGAAAAAGGGTATGATATACCAATTTGCTAAGCCCGAACAACTCTTTTCCTTTCTCCGTGAGATCCACATCGTGCACCGCAACCTCCCACCCTTCCTCATTTCGACCGACCTTCAACCCCAGCGCTCTTCCGATAATTTGGTGGCCGAAGCACACACCGATAATGCGAACCCGATCCTGCGCTAGGATATTGGCGATATACTCAACCAACCTGTTTATCCAGGGGATATCATCGTAGGAGTTGTGTTCTAAGGCTTTGGTTTTAGAGAAGTGCGACGACACGTCAAAAATCGAGCTCCTCGCCCAAACTTACTGGATCCAGTTAGCAGCACTGCATCGATATCTTCTAGATCGGGATACTCGTTTCGCTCCATGACATTCCATTTTGAAATGTGGAGCCCGGTCGCTGGATCGAATTTATCGGGCTGGTCTAGCAGTTTGGCGCCGGACAGGAGCAGTGATTCGAAGACGCCGCCATAGCCGCCGTACTTGGCCTTGGTGTTTGGGAGGGGCACGTCGCATTCAAGCACGGCGATGCGCAAAGGAGCCCGCATGGAAACTGGTATATATATTTATATATATATATATTACAAGGTTTAGAGGAGAAGGATGAGTTGAGAAGAGTTGACTAATAACCGATAAGCCGATAGCTGCCGCAAACTGGTGCGGGGTGCTCCTTCCCTGTCCAGGGCTGCTTACGTGCAAGGGCTGGAGTAGACTGCGGGGGGCGGCGGCTATTTGACCATTCGTTAGCCAACAGGAACAGCGGCTGCTTCGGCTATCCGGCATAACTTCCTGTATACGGTTAGCAGAGAGCCTCCAAGGGGGATATTTTTTCCGCTTAAACGCTCAAATTAGGCGAACTCTGGTTGGCTTTGAAAGGTTTCCCAAGACGATGCCATTTTCCAAACCTTTGCAAGACATATTCTCTCTCAACCAACCTCCCCCGAAGAGTCCCAGGCAGACCCAACAAATGATCCTCGACAGAAAGAGGTGATTCTCTGGGTCCTGTCCTTCAAGGAGAATGTAACTCTCCTTTGGTTTTATCATACAACATCTAATCCACACTCTCTACTTTGTCATGTTGTTCTCAATTGATGAAACCAGTCTCAAGCTTCTGCTGATAATCTGATGAATCTCTCTTCTGATGCTGTGACCCCAAGCACTCACCACATCAAATTGATAAATCAGACAGAGATTAATTGAAGAAGAGAGCAAGGCCTGTGCCTGAGATGCAGAGCTGGAGATTATATGATTAAGAGCTGTCTGTTCAAACCTCTCAGACACCCTGTCGCCTCCACAATAACTAAGGTGATTCTCAAGCCAGTACTGAATGATGATGATGTAGATATGAGCAAGGATTCAGAAAAAAGAGTAGCTTCAATCAAAAGACACTGAAAGAAGCAAAATAAGAAGCTTATGAAGAAGCAATGAAGAGGATTTAAATTTAAGATGATATTCAAACCCTTCACTGTTGATGCTCTAGTAGATAATGCCTTTTCAACTAGAGCAATGATAGACAGTGAATGTATATCTATGATCTATTTTCTCAATTCTATATTAACAAG